ATAGCTCTCAATGCAAATTTCAATTCTTATCTTAATGTTCTCCTAACAAAGTAGGTAAACAATTCCATCCGCTTCTAGAATAAGCAAAAAGAATCAAGGGAACCATGTTTCTGATGCTCCAAATACTTTAGTCATCTAATAGCTGAGAAGAGATAAGAAAAAAAGTCTTTGGACTCCAGGCAAATCACAGTCCCCAACCTGACTGTCAATTCCTATTTGGAAGACTGCAAATGTGACGGTAGGATATAAATTACGCCATTTCTTGTATTTTTGCAAGATATTTGATGTTATTTCCAATAAACAAGTAAAATATGCAAGACATTTTAAGTAGGTAACAAGGAAAGTATGTTAGTAGCAGTAAATAAAGTAAAGTGAGTAAATAACTTAAAATCTTTAGTGAAAACAAAACATTAATAAATCAGACCAACATTTACAGGATAATTCAATTTACTAAATCCCATTTCATTCATTGCACGAAAACAACCAATGAAACCTACTCAGTACTATCATCGATTAAACCAACAGAGTATCCTTCGTTTGTGCTCCAACAGAAACAAAGATATGGAGCAATCGAGATGGACAAAGTCAGCAACACAGTAGCGAGATGACGAGACCAGAGATCGGGAAACGTAGCAACCACAGTGCTCTATCGGCCATCATGATGGTGATGCGGCAATGACTTCGTAAACAAATAATTCATACAGGGAACAGTCATTCTCTCTTAACCAGAATACTAAAAGATGTTAAACACCAAATACACATTACTTTATAAATGTAATTTAACCAAGCTTGATAATATACAATGAATGTTACCTTATTTAAAAAAAGATTCTTATGAAAAATTAATGACAAAATTAATATGTTATTCTTTGGGCATTGCCCCCCCAATGAAACAGCTGGTCTCAATTCTTACTAGAAACCTTGGGTCAGGGGTGCCCATCCCCCCAAGCTTACCATAACCCCCCCCCTCCCCAAATTCGTTGTTTAACCCATGCCGGGAGGTCTGGGGGCTTAGTTATAATGGTAGGGGGAGGGGGTCGCCAACCTTTTTTTACGTTACGCTGCAAATTTACGGGAATTTAAGCTTTAGAATCATACTTTTGTTTTTTTTTATCCGATTTAAATGGACAATTTTGCTCTAGTAGCAAACTATTTGTTAGTTTAATTTTACTATTAAAAAAACTACTTTGAGTTGTATTTTCATAAAATAGCTGGTCAGTTTGCTTCCGGTAACCCAATTATATTTTAATGGCACCATAGTTAATCATCCTAAACATCTCATATAGTTTACATTTGATACTGCACCAACAATTATTTTCATAGAAATGTCAAAGACAAGTCATCAGGAGCAGTTGAAAGAAGTAGATAGCTTAAATTATGATACAACCAAAAGTCCTTTAGTAGCACTGTTTTTAATTTAATGTATGAATAATTTATTAGTAGAATCATCTATTTGTATTTTCAGTAAAATTACTTTACGTTTAGTAAATAAGTAACATAAAGTATAATGGTAGGCATAGTAAAGTAGTCAAGTAAGTTAAGGGGTTTAGATTTCCCGTTAGCTTATCCACAGGCCTTTAGCATGGCACATGGATTGGTTAAGCAGTGAGAGTAATTTTGATAATTTATTGGGAAGGAAGATCACAAAAAATGCAATAACTTTAAAACCGCAATTTTTACAGCAATAGGGCCTGTGTAATTTCTATTGGAGTTAAAAAAGACTATAACACGCACACAATTTGAATCAAAATTGGCCATGTAGTTTTTTAAAATCCAATTTTCCAATGGTGGAAGGAAAATACATAGGTGTGCTATTCCCGTCATTTGATGACGTCACCCAGATTGCAAACAAAAAATCTGCTGATGTATTGCCATATAAGTATATATTTGTTTTGATTGGATTGATATTGTTTTTATAATATTTCTAAATGATAAAATGGTTTTTGCAATCTGAGTGACGTCAGCATATGACGGGAATAGCACACATATGTATTTTCCCTCCACAATGCAATTTTCCGTGAATTAATAGGTTTTTAAGAGGGAAAACCACAAAAGCTGCAATAACTTTTGAACCATAATTTTTACAGCAATAAGGGTTATACCATTTTGTTCAGAGTCAAAAAGTATAACATGTTAATTTTTAATCAAAATCATTTGGGCCAATTCTGAGAAAATTTTATTTGTCCATTATTTTATAGGGGTTTATGGAAAATCATCATTAAAAATCCAAATAAAAAAACACCTGGAGGGACAATGGATTACCTAACCTACATACCAAATTTCATTAAAATAGGACATGGAACACAGGTGTGGTCTGTAGCTCCATAAACATCCATACTTACATCACTTCGAAAACCACTTTTTTTTTGTATCTGGGGAACCCAAAACTCAAACTCGAAAATGTTTACATAAACAATTCTTTCACCATATTAACTTGTAGCCCAGAAAGTAAAAGTTATGTCAAAAAGTTTGAGATACTTTGAGATATATTGTAAAAATAGCAAGCAAAATGATTATCATAATAATGGTTTTTATGAATAAAGTATACAGGGTGATTTGTACTCAGTGTGACAACATTTTTTTGATGTAAGTACAAAGTAAATGAAGTGTGATGATGCATATCAAATGTTCCAAGTCTCAAAATTAGCGTCCCAAAAAATTATTTTATGTTTTTCAAAAATAACCATGCTTTTAAACTTAATACAGCGATTTCTCAATTACCTGTATATGGATTTGAGTAGATAATGTCATTTTCGTGTTCTACATTAAATTTTGAACAAGAATAATGGAAAATGACGGAGGATCAGTTGTAAAAACTCCATTGTAAATAGATTCAAAGATAAAAATTAAGATATTTGATAACAATTTTAAAAACAATGGTCTATTGCATTTTTCACACCCTGTATACAAGAAAGTGTCAGAATATGCTAAAAACTGCGCCATTTTATAAGCTTTCCAACCATATGCTACACTATTGAGGTTTAGATATTTTTTTGCTTGTTTTAGTGGTTTGAATATACCAGAAAACAGGGAACTTTTTTACTGTTTTTACTGTTCAAGCTGAATCAAAAATACAACTTTTGCTTAATACATGCCGACTTTCTATGTTTTAAATGTTAAAGACACCATGCTTTGTAGTCTTCAAACCATTAAAGCGTACATAAGCAGACATGAACCTCAATAGTGTAGCATATCGTTGGAAAGCTTATAAAATGGCGCAGTTTTTAATATATTCCGACACTTTCTTGTATACAGGGTGTGAAAAATGCAATAGACCATTGTTTTTAAAATGTTTATTAAACATCTTAATTTTTATCATTGAATCTATTTACAATGGAGTTTTTACAACTGATCCTCCGTCATTTTCTATTATTCTTGTTCAAAATTTAATGTATAACACGAAAATTACATTATCTACTCAAATCCATATACAGGTAATTGAGAAATCGCTGTATTAAGTTTAAAAACATGGTTATTATTGAAAAACATAAAATATTTTTTTGGGAAGCTAATTTGACTTGGAACATTTGATATGCATCATCACACTTTACTTTTTACTTACACCAAAAAAATTTTGTCACACTGAGTACAAATCACCCTGTATATCATAAATAAACCTAAACAGCCATCAATAGGTCCCAAAAGGCAATGAGATTATTTGAGAATGAGTTCATAATGAACGGTAAAAACAATCTCAAATTGCAGACAAAATTCAATAAGCCAACCATAATCCTTTGACAGTAGTTGGCAGGGAGTTGTTCTCCTTGTCAAACATGATAGAGTCAGAAAGTGGAAATACACATAAACATATTTATATAATTTATAGCCATTATACAGGGTGAATAAAAAGTCAAGACCCCCCCCCCCATCTAATATTTTTCCAAGTAAATATACAGAGATATCCTTTTGGGGGTCGTGTAATCTTAGCAGGAAGTTTCATTTTATGATTTTGAAATTTTTGAGTGTCCCCCCAAAAGGGGGGATTCGGGGGGTAACTCAAATATTTTAAATGTAAACCCCCTTCAAGTGACACCTCATTTTGAATTGTTTACAAAAACTTAAAGAATGGTGAAAACCAGAGTTCGCTATCTCTTCTCTATCCAAAATGGTAGCCAATATTACCATTACGAACCAATTTTACCATTGATTTTCCACAACATTTGATGGGCTAAAAACGTCCCCCCAAAAAACCTTTTGGGGGGACACTCAAAAATTTCAAAATCATAAAATAAAACTTCCTGCTAAGATTGCATGACCCCCAAAAGGATATCTCTGTATATTTACTTGGAAAAATATTAGATGGGGGGGTCTTGACTTTTTATTCACCCTGTATAGTTATTTGTGTAACAAGTAAGCAAAGTGGCATTTTGCTGCACATGAGAGAAATTTTGTGGTGCATAATAAAATCACTGTGTTTTATGTTGTTTGGTTGGAATACTGATGTGCGACAAAGTATAAACCGTGTGACAAAGTATAAGGTACAACAAAGTAAATTAATGCAGCAATTAGCAGCTTTCTGTACTATAAACAGTGCAAGGAAGCCAACTTTGTCGGGTGACTGTAGGAAAAAATATTTATTTATCAAGATAAAATGTCAAATGGGATTTTGATTCCATTATTACCCCAGTAGTAAATTATGGAGGTCGTAAAAATTATCTGATTAATCTTTTATGTGCTAACCAACCACTGGCTTGAATCCCCCCCCCCAAAATTTTCTGATAGCCCCCTATGGGCACCCCTGCCTTGGGTACGTACCACCAGTAGACATTTTTCTATTATTCTGCAAGTCCTTTTTTATTCTGTGTTTCATAAGTTTAACTGTTTTTTATTTAGTTTTCCCTCGGAGGCTATGCTAGTGGGGATGCATGAGAGAAAAAGTAGACCTGACAATCCTAATATATCGTCTGTCTATGTTATTATTTCAGAACATCAGTTTAACCATCAACAAAAAAGAACCAGTGTCATTTGATTATGGTTTAATGGTAAAAACGGACAACAAATTATTACAAATCCCTTTATTAACACTGAAAAAATACATAAAGCTTATCTTACTGATGCTATTGTCTCTTTAATCAATGAACTAAACCTAAAATTTGACACTTTCAAATTCCTCCAGAGTTAGTAAAGTCATAAGATTTTGGATGATTGGAAAAAGAAGTATACTATAATTTGATGTGAACATATGATTTTTTTTATAACCTTATAAAATAAGGCACAATATTAGATAATAACAAAAAATAAAAAATAGCTTCAAATTTTGTATCAAAATTATCAGTAGATTAAAATACATCCATTCATACCATCAGATTTGTATATTTTCTTCAATTAAGAAATATTGCTCAGAGATAGTGGAGCTAGAAGTATGACTCACTGGCCTTATCACTGGCTGCCCGAGCAGCTCCAAGAACGCACAATAGACTCAAGGGATAAGACTTAGTGCGGTTGACTGGTTCACCCCTGGTTCTGCCTCACTCTGGCATTCAACTCAGTATAGAAACATTGCTAATTTTTTTTTTAACTTAATTCTAACGTTTAAGAAACAGATACAAATTTACAATCTTACAAACCAGGGGCGGCTCCAGGAATATTTTTTTTTGGGTAGGCCTGACAAAGATCAAGAAAGAGTTTGATTGGGGGACGATAGGTTTGAAGGCTTTACCTGCAAAAAGGAAGGAATTAAAAAATTTAAATGCAAAATAATTAGTTTTAATGCTTTCCCTTTATTTACACATAACAAAATTTTGGGTAGGCCCGGGCCTACCTGGCCTGCCCTCTGGAGCCGCCCCTGTTACAAACTCAAACAGTAAGGATTCTTTAAAATTCTCTAACTGGACCCAAAATGCATATTTCATTGAATATGTAATATGTATACTAAAGTATGGGGCTTGTCAGTAAATTATGGTCACTTTTCTTTTGCCTACGAATTACATAACAAACACACACTTAACTCAATTATTAGTACAGAGAACTATTTAACAGTTGGACAGTAACACTTCCTAAGCATTGTATATTTTATAAAAAGTCATAAGAGTTATAGTAGCAAAAAGAATGGTTTTATACACCTCTATTTAATTTTTCTTTCACTGTTATGTGAAGTAATTTAGAGCATCTATTAATATATTTTATTTCATGAGTATTTTTTTCATTTTTCTAAGCAAAAATAAATATAGTTAACTAAAAAGGCACAAGGTGTTATTTTTTATTATGTTCATACATTTGTATTATGTATTATTATGTTATTATGTATTATGTATTATTATGTTATTATGTATTATTTATTATTTTTTCACTATGTATTATGAAAATATATCTTAAGCATGATATGCTTGGTTGCTTATATGTTGCAGTAACATTGACATTATTTCAACAAAGGTTCATAACAACTAATAAACCTTAAATATTTCCAAAAATTGTGTCGGTTTGGTTGTTTCTTACACCTGTATCCGTCATAATATCTTGTCAAAACTATTTTAGGCTTATAATTCATAGTTTTAAGTCAATAAAACCTTGATTTAATGTGACCTTGATTGTTATGGGGAAAATAAATTAATGTTATATTTACTTGTGGAATAATCATACTTATGAGGAATTAAGGCTTATCCTCTACAAAATTAGCATTGGAAAGATGTGAATACATTGTGAACATAGCAAGACAAATATTTTAAAATTTTTAACGTTCAGAACAACTCTAATAGAAATAAAACACAACTGTGATAACTAAATTGCATACTTAATTTGTTGACTGTAACCTTAATTAACTTTTAAAAGAAATTTTTGGATTCAGAAGGAAATTAAACTTTGTTAATCTTAATCACTTTTAAATTCAACATTATTTGAGTATAATATATGACTGGGACGGGTGGCGTCGTCCTGTAATCCAGCTACTATGAGGTCACGAATTGAGGATATTTATAGGCAAGCACTGTGGATGCGATACTCCCTGGTGTGGATTAACATCCGCACGGGTGAGTACTATGACTATCCGCAGTACTATCCTGATAATTAGACCAATTCGTATATACAAAAAAAATGTGGTTCGGATTCCACTATAAACTGTAGGTCCCTTAGTTCCCATTAGCTGTATGGGCTATTAATTAACAGCTGTGTCTAAGGAATATGTCGGCCTTAGTCCCTAACAAGACTACAAGATCACGCTACTCATCCTACACTTATCTCCAATCTCCATTCATACTTGGCTTGAAATACCTACTTTGTATGGTCGCCATTTCATTAAAAAAAGTATATAAAATAAATCGCTGGATAAATATCATTAAAACACAAACATTTTAATTTAGCTGAACTTTAAAAATAACTCAAGACAATGTGATATCATAATGATATGTTTTCAATCCTAAACATTTCATCCAGAAAAACAATGCTAATTTTATATTAAGTAACATTTTTTTTACATAATATAGGAATGGACTTGGCTTGGTGCTTTATTCATGTTTAAGCACAGCCACTTGGTATTTTTTATTCAATCATAGCGAAAAAGGTGTCATTATTTTTATTTTGATAAAACACAAATTAAGTCAGACAAATATATTACTATACACATTTTCATGAAATAACCCCTAAATCAAACATTTTAGTAAAATGTAGAGTAAATGATATCTTAATAACCAAAGATTCAGTAACAAGAAGAACCATATTTTATTCAAACTTTGCTGTTATATACCAAAGCACACACGTGTGTAAAAAATACAAATGTACAAAACTAAATGTTAGTTATGACAACATTATAGTATGTTTAAGTACACTTTACACTATTTATGAATATATTGTACATTGTGATAACAAGTATGATGCCTTTGTGAAGCTTTATAATGGCTAAGACTAGCTGGTATAACTAATTATGTCATTAACAAGAACATTTACCTAAACACAATTAGGTTTGGGAAATATTTATAACTTCATAATGGAGGCCATTAAATGTGACTGTAAGGCCTAACTTAAGATTTGATTCTGAGACTCCACTTGGCGATTTTCAAAAATACATTACATATAAAAACATTTAAACTTGCAAATAATAACATTGTACCCGCAGTATTATATTTTAAGTACGGGTTAATTAAATAAACATAAATAACTGCTAAAAGCTTAATTTATACGCTAATCAATTCATAACTATACATAAGTTTATACAAATCTTAAAAATATTAAAATAATAATTAATTGTTCAATAATTTAATATAAATATTATAATTAAAATGATTTTGAATCATGTAATCGATATAATATTGGCTGACATTTATTATTAACACATATATCAGTGATCAGACACAGTCAGAATCAGTGATATTCTTCATCACACTTTTATAAAGGATCATTGCTTCTAAGTACTTATTAATTTAATATCATCGGACAATTAAACAACATGTTTAAAATATAACTTTTTTAAAAGCTACATAGAGGAACATTGATAGTTAAATAATGGAAAAACATTATTACAAATCTCAATATTTATAACTGGAAAAGTTAACCTTAAACTAAATAGAAATACAATAACACAGCCTTTGATGATGTAATGACTATATGGGTGAGGCAGATGTGATTCAAGCCACCTCACTAGATATATAAGGGTACCCAAAGATTCCCTCTTTCTCAACTTGTTTGTACTTGTTTTTCGGCTGCTTCTTTTTGTTTATTTTATGTATGATTATCTTCAACAATCTAGATTCTCCCACTCCATTCTGCAAACATAACCAAAGACGTTATGATTAAAGTTTGAGATAGGTTTTTCTTCATGTGCAGCACACTGTGACATATGCAGCTTACATAGACTTTAAGTTTATGTAAAGCAGTACAAATCTTATAAAAGATAGTTGTGCTGTTAACATTACGTGGAACATCATATTTAATATCTTGTGGGTCCCATTATCTGTCCTCACTACCTTCAAGAAGGTGCTAAAGTACATTTGACTTATTTATGTAATTTATGCTTTATAAAAATGATAGTATGACTTAATGATTTGTATTTTGACTTTGGTATGGTCAAAATTAGTATGGTAGAAAAAACTATTCGATGAAAACCAACCCCAAATAACTGTATCAACAAGGCGTTAACATTAGCCATTCAAACAAGATCCTAAAAAAATATAATTCAAGATAGAACACAATTTTCCATTATATTAAAGGAGAGTAATGGGATTTTTTTCTACCCAGAAAGTGAGTCATGAAAGTTATGAAGTGAATTTTATGTTATCTGAGTCTAAAATGGGAAAACCTATTTTAACACACTAAGTTCCTGTAGTCCTATCATGCTGGTTTCCAAATTCGGTAGTTTTACAAGTTTGAACCGAATTTCATAAAAATATTAACATTTTTATTTAAGTTATCGTGCTAACGGACAAACTCACACACACGGACAAACTTACACACACACACTTACGAGTTAAAACACATATGAGTTATAATTAAACGTATTTTGGCCTCTGGAACCTCAAATTTTTTTAAAATAGGCCCCAGGTCTAGGATTTACCGTGCCACCTTAGGTAATACCTTCTTCTCTTATAACTTGCTTCATACCCGTATAACTTTTGATTGTATAGGGTAAATTTCCTTAAACAAAGAAATTTATTTTATTAAATTCCTAGAAATAAAAAAAGAATTCTAGATAGATGTACGGTATTGTAGTAAACATTCAACACATAATCCACAGCAATAGCCATACCAAAATGCGTTTCCACATTTACTTGTGGATGAACTCTGGGAAAAACAGTTATTAGCTCATTTTAACCCTCCGAGGGTCACGCGTCGAGTTTAAGACGCACAACACACTTTGTGTAGGGTCACGCGTCGAGTTTAAGACGCACAACACACTTTGTGTAGGGTCACGCGTCGAGTTTAAGACGCACAAACATCGTTTACGGCGAAGGCTCTATGACTGACTGAATCGGATTGAACTGGATCGAGTTAGGTATCGTTCTTTCCGTAATATTCTAAGCTTTCTCCAGAGGTCTGTCTCTAAGCGCTATTCATTTTAGTTCCGAAAATATTGTAGCAGACAGCTGACGTGCGTGTATTTGTAAACAGCTAGGTTCCCCCGGACCGATGACTGATGTGTTTTATTACGTTTATCATTGTTTTAGTGTTAAAAATCAAAAGTAGTGATATACGTGGTGCATTATAAGAAGATTTAAGTGGTTTTGAAGTGCTGGTTGATGATCCTGAAGAAGTAGGTAGTGATATTGATGTAAATTATCAGCCAGATTCCTAGCTATGGTTAGGCTATGCATTCTTAGCTAAACGCTATGTACTGAAATCCGTTTTTCGCTCATAACTTATTTATTTGATAACTTACCTCGCTATATGATTATATATTTGTAATCCTCATTAAATTTAGAACAAAGTGGCTATTTTCAAATATTTATAGGCCTATAATTTATACAATTTCATTGAGCGCGAACTTATTTTTTTTTTGAAAATTTTCAAAATTATATTTTTTTTACCTAAAATTTTTTTTTTGAAAAAATGTTCCTTATGTTTTATATATAATATTGAAGCCCATGATTTTCCAAACAAAATGGTATATAGAACATTAGAATTAACATTGTTTTAAGCTTCTCAGATCCGTTTTAATAAAACCTTGCAAAGGGGCCAAAAATAGGTGGACATTAAGGCCTAAACTATGGACACTCGGAGGGTTAAATAATGTTCTTACCTCTATGAGAACTGCAATTATTGTATTGACAAGGGGCAAGGCCATGAGAGAAACCCGAAACCAAGCCTCGTTTGGAGTCCAAGGTTTCAGTTCAAAAAGCTCTGCTAAGATGGAGGGTGGATAGATCAACAGTAGAGTTGTGAACCCTGTCAGGACTAACACGAAGCCACCAAACACCCCTAAAACATCAAGTCAACATGTTACACAGTGAATAGCTACTAACTCTTATCGAGCGTTGGCCGTATATATACGCAACTCAATCTGAAGGTCACAATCGTACGACATTTACGCCAAAACATGTAAACGTCATTTAGGTTTTTTAAAGTTGTTCCTTGGCCGTCAACAGTTACCTTAGGCCATTAATCAATATTACTGTTGTGATAACCTTTTTATTTTTCGTGGTAAATTAAATTTCTGATTGGTGGGTTGGCATCACTGATCTGGTAACATCTGTTGTTTACAAAACCAGCCGGCTGAGTCATGTTATTGTTAAGTTTTGCGCAGACGTTTACTTGTTCTTGAGTGAAGTAAACCTAGTAAAGTAACATTATTTAGTGGAATATATCCATTCAATTAGAAATGTGTTGTATTGTTTATTGAAAATTATTTTTGTTTATTTTGGATGTTTGGAATCAAAATTTTTTTTTCTAGGCATATTATGATTAGATAGACCTAGGTCTGTTTTGTCTTTTGGTAATATAATAAAGAAGTCATAATTATTGTTCTTATCATGATACTTTTTATTTCAACCTGTTTAACAGTTATATAAATGTTTACCATAAACAAAGTTTACAGGCGATAGACATAGATATATATATATATATATATATGTATGGATCAATGCATTCCTTAGCGAGCATTGGACGTACACTGCAAAAATTATGGTCATACAACTTGTAAAAAAATTATTTTTATAAAAAAAGGTATATTTATAATCAACTTTAACCATCAAATGACCATCATGATGGTTTTAACCTCAAACAAATTATTGATCGCGTAGTGAGTAGGTGTGCTTTGCCCCGCAGCCGCCACTTGGGAAGGGTTAAATATCCTTTACATGAGGTCCTTTATTTTTACATAAGGATAATATTAGGTTTCTCAGTCTTTCTTTAGACTTCTAAGATTAAAATTTTCCCTAGAAAAATCGAGTTTGAATAACATTGTAATGTATAAAGGATTTTATTTGACAGGGTGTCCACCAGGCCAATCAGAAAAAATTCATGAGTAATTCTAGATAGTTCAGGCCGTACTTAACATACTAAACTTTCCAACGCGTTTTTGCGCCAACTCCCGCAATGCTGTTTTAGCGCTAACACAGTTGGCTATTTTAGTTATCGGAAAAAAAACATTCTCAGTTAATGTAACACAATTTATGATAACTGTAATATTGCCTGACATAAGTATGCAATTTCTATATATTACTGATTAAATAGAAAACTAAAAACCAATTCTTAAACCTGCAATTTATCAATAACTTCTTAAAAATAGTGATATGTCAATACAAAAATTTATCGAATGATTTATGGAATCTACGTACCAACACCTGAAAAATAGATTCTTAATACAGTACTGATAATTTTAATTTTACAAAATTTTCTGTAAGGATTACTACACCAACCCCTGCCTTTATGTACTTTTATATAGTATGTATCTTGGAGGTATGGGTTGTTTTTCAAGTGGCCTACAAAAATAATAATTCATAAATACCCAAAATCTCACATAGCCAATTAAAGTTTTTAGTTAAACTCTTCTAAACACATTAAATAAATAGCATGTTAAAGGTAAATGAACAAATTACAAAAAATATAAAAATAAAACTTTCAAGAAGAGTGCCAATTTGAAATTTTTCGGTCGAGCTAAACTCGAGGTCGCATGATCATCTACCACTGTTATAGATGATCCGTGATAATCATCGTTTTCATGATATATCATCATCGTTTTCCGTGATAACTGCAAAATCCTGAATATTTCCCTCAGTAACGGAAACATCACCACTGTCTTCCGTGGTCGTGACAAAATCCTAATATTGTTCAAGGGTAACAGACTGATTATAATCGTCTCCCGCAATCCCAGAAAAGTTATCATCATCTTTGGCGATTGTAGCTTAATTCTAATAATTTCTCGCTGTAATCATCGTCAAGCAATAGTTTTTGGACATCATCATCGTCTCCCGCAGTCACGGAAAAGTCATCGTCTCCCGCGGTCACGGAAACGTCATCGTCGTCTCCCACGGTCACAGAAGCGTCATCGTCATCTCCTGCGGTCTTGGAAACGCCATCATTGTCATGTGCGATCGTGGAAAAATCATTATATAATACCGCAGCCGTTTGGAGTTTGGACATCATCAAGCAACATGATGTCCAGCAGTCACGGAAACGTCGTCGTCGGCATGCACGATCGCGGCAAATTGAAATTCCAGGTCAAAGACGAAAATCACGCATAATTCCCGGTTTTCCAGGTCGGTGGACACCCTCTTTGACCATGACAGATGTACAAAACAAAATTAAAATATAAATATCAGTTCACATTAATCTAGTACTGTAGAATAAGGATTAAGGGTATAGAATACTGTTAAGAATGTTCTTTCAAAGCATGATGTAGTACCTTTCTGTGATTGAATCAATTGAAAAGTTCCTAGTTCAATAAAAAAAATAGACATTCTTAGTCATATCGGAAAATCTTAATTTACGAGGCTATAAAAATATAGGAGGATTATTGTTAAAAAGCTTTAAAATTGTATACTAACATTGTAATTGTATAATTTTTATAAATTGCATAACATTTAATTGTATAATAAAATTGTATTCGCCCAAATATAAAACATAATACATATTATTTGCAGAAATAAGTAGGGGTTTAAGGATGTTTCCCTATATTTATGGTAATAGTACCAATTATTTTTTTTATGAATGGTATAAAACTCTGTAATATACTAACAGTTAGTGTGGAATGGCTGCCGATGAGGTTTGCCCTTTGAGAAAACACAAGCTTGGATGAAGAATTGAAAACAGCTGATTGTATAGACCACGGTGTTTTCCCATGATTCTACAGCACCTCCGTTTTCCACTTCAGGATTGACAGGAACATACCTTCACATGTATAAAATTCATTAGTGTAAGGCAACAATCATACAACATCAATAAAACAATAAAACAATAAAACACATAACACACATTATTTAAAAGAAAGTGAAAGTCTAATAATTTGTAAAGTATTTGTAGTTCAAGATTCAAGATTCAAATAGTCTTTATTCAATATTATAACATATATAAAACATACATGTATCTGAATAGAGTCAAAATCTATATATAAATCATATACATTAAAACATAAATCTACGCAAATGTCCATTACAAAAAGTAAATGGAATTTCAAATTAAATACTTTTTTTTATCTACAAATTCTTGTAATGAATAAAAAAGATTTTTTAATAAGAAATCTTTTAAAAGTTTTTTGAATTTTTTGAAATTTGTCTCCTGCCGGATGCTTATTGGTAAATATTGCAACAATTTCAATCCTGCATAAGTGGTTTTCTTTGTATAATATTCTAATTTATGCTGAGGTAATCTTAGTTACTTCATAACTCACTGTATTGAAACATAACTACACAATAGAGTCCCGAATATCCAATCATAGATTGTCTGGCTTTTCTAGCAGTGTTTCCACGTGACCACAAACAAAGATCTCACTTCCTGTCTGGAGACAATTCTGCTTTATTGTAATGGAAAATCTTGTTTTATCCCGAATGATCTTTTTGATGCATTTACACAAGTATTTGGGGTTTATTTTTATTTGGAAATCAGTAAATAAAATCTGGCGCCAGAACTTAAAACCTGTTACTTGTGAGTCAGAACCTAAAAACTGTTATTTGTGATGACAGAATAAGTTAAAGGTTTCAATGGAAAAACCTCAAGCCAAGAAATAGGTTCGTCAAGTAAAGTGTAATAAGGAGGAAGTGTAAAAAGGTGTATCAAAAGTGTTTAATGACTTTTAACACATTTTTCAATGGTTTTTACTATTTTCTGTGTCATACGACCTTCCAAAAAACATGGCATCCAACCTTGCTGTACTGGTGTAGGTTGGATAGTTGAGACTCTAATATAAATTATAAACCCAATAGAAGAGCTATGATGAGACTAAACTAGATTTACTTTGAACTCACCTATTGAAATTGAAATTGAAAATTATGAACACCAAACGTTTAAACTATTTTATACTACAAAAATGTTCATACCAAGGCTGAGCCTGCAGAATGTACAAAGACAGGATCTGGATGACACACAAGTTAGTGATGTGTAGCAGAAGAGGAATGACATTGGCGGGGGCCACAAGACTCATGACGGGGCGATGAGGCACCAGGAACTTCGCAGGCCCCGCTCGTCCCATCATGAACGCCAAACTCGTGGTGATCACCAAGTCAACATAAAGGAACTCTATATTGCTGAGCTCAACAGCACTCTGGAAAATAACACAAATGTATATAGTTTGTATTTTGTAACCAAATAATTCGATTGTTGATAAATTTAGGTACATCATCAAATACGATAGCTCAGTGTTGGTTTGAGATTGCCTACACTATCTTGGCCACTGGTTTTTCCATGCGACTTAAACTCAGGGTGTCTAGTTTATTTTCATTATAAAATTCAAGACTAATTCCAGACTTTTCAAGACTAATTCCAAATTTTTCAAGACTAGTTTTTTCAACAATTAGTGCGTGTTGATGCCAAAATGTATCGATTCTTGATACCGATACCAATTTTTATAGCTTAACAAAATTTTCTGAATAATACTACACCAACCCCTGTCTTTGTCATAAAGTAGTATTATGATAATGTGGTGTTTTCAAGTAAAGAAATAATGCAGCAATAAAAAATTCTAACTAGCAAATTTGTTTTTTTTTATATCATGAAATCTTCCACGTGCCGTACGTTTAGACATCATCATTGACTGCAGTGGTTAGAAACGTGATCGCCGTCGCCCGCGATCACGGCAAAATCATGAACATTTTCCGCGGCCTTGTAGACATCAATGACATCAACGTCGTCTCCCGCTGTCTCAGAAACGTCATCGTCATCGTCCGCGATCACGGCAAAATCATGAACATTTCCCGCGGCCGTGTAGACATCATCGTCGTCTCCCGCGGTGACTGAAACGTCAACGTCATCTCCCGCGGTCACGGAAACGTCATCGTCGTCGTCCGCGATCGTGACAAAATCATGAACATTTCCCGCGGCCGAGCAGATATCATCGTCGTCTCCCGCGGTCACGGAAACATCATCGTCGTCTCCCGCTGTCACGGAAACGTCATCGTCGTCTCCCGCGGTCACGGAAACGTCATCGTAGTCTCCCGCTGTCACAGAAACGTCATCGTCGTCTCTCGTGGTTTCGGAAACGTCATCGTCGTCGTCCACTATCGCGGCAAAATCGTGAACATTTCCCGAGGCCGTGTAGACATCATCATTGGCTTTTGCGGTTACGTAAACGCAAGACGACGATCGCGGCAAAATCATGAAAATTCCCGACTTTGAAATCAAATTTAAGACTAAATCCCGACTTTCAAGACCATTTTGAAATTCAATACTAATTCCCGACTTTCCCGATTTTCCCGACTACTAGACACCCTGTAAACTGTAACAATATTTGACTGCCTTTAGATCACCTCACGGACTAAATCTATGGTAATTGATAACGGGCAGATGAGATTAGAACAATTAATTATAAGTTTTTGTTGTTGTATATTGATTACTGGAAATGCACTATCCTGGGGAATGTGCTGTTCCTCTTTTTTCTTACCATGTAGAAAATACACATACATATTTTATTTAGCATGGATTTAAAACGGTAATGACATATTTTGACTTGTGAGTTAGTTATAGTTAACAAACAACCTATAAATTTATTTGTCAAGATAGATAAAGCTATTTTTTTATGATAACAGTATTTTATATAATATTGTAAACATATTTTTGAAATTTTCTATGATAAGAAGAACATGTTAAACCTGTCACTTTTTGATACAAAACCCACTGTGAAGATTCTTAAACACAATAATCAAACAAACAGATCACAATTTCTGTTTGCTTATTTGTAATAAAGGGTGGTCCATAAATAACGGATATTTTTTAAACAAGTGTCAATCAGCTGTTGTTACGCATAGAATTTTCATTGTTGTATTAAACAACAACAAATGACATGCCATTTGAATTCATGGATCGTTGGACAATACCGTACCTTTTGCACTGAAGCCTATTTAAAAAATAACGAGTCTGTGATTGTAACTCAGCGGTTATTTCGAAATCATTTCAACATCCGTCGTCATGGTGCAGTTACCTCTAAGAATACTTTCAATAAGTGGGTGTTTAATTTAAGAAATTAGGGACCTTTTTTCAAGAATAAACCTCCGGGGAGGTCAAAGTCCGTACGTACAGATGAGAAAATTACAAGAGATCGGGAACCTGTTCTCCGAAGTCCAAAAAGATCAACAAAAAAACATTCTGTTGCTTTAGGTGTTTCTAGGACCAGTTTACATTACATTTTACATGACGATTTGAATTTTCATCCCTACAAAATGGTTGTTGCACAGAAGCTCAATCAAGGGGACCCTAGATTACGCCTGATGTTTTGTCAAAGACTCTTTCAGCTGATTAAAGGCAAAATCCTTCTGGGGCGCCTTTATTATGTCACTTATAATTAAAATAGGCTTCAATGCAAAATGCACAGTGTGTCCAACGATCTATGATTACTCAAATGGCATGGCATTTGTTGTTGTTTAATACAACAATAAACATTCTACGATAATCAAGCATAATCAAAGTATTGAAATATTCAAGTAAGCAATAATCAAGTATTGAACCAATTATACTGCACAAAATTTTTAGGTTTAATTACTGATGCAAATCTGGCATGGGATAATCATATTAACAATCGTATTCGAATAACATCCAGCAGCCCTTACGCATTGAGAAAATTGCTACATCATGTAATATCGAAACGTTAAAAGCAGTCTATTACGCATTAATTCATTCCAATATTGCCTATGGAATTTGTGTCTATGGATCTACCACGAAAAAAAAAAAAAACATGGACAGAGTTTTGCTCCAGCAAAAAAGGGCATTGAGGATAATGTTGAATTTAAGATCAACAGTCTCGGTAAGGCAAGTCTTTTGTATACATAAAATATTCACAGTCTACAGTCTTTTCATTTATGAATCAATTAAATTTTTTTTATGAACGATAAAATTGCAATAGGTAACCGTTCATAAATATGACACAAGATCCCACCGATTGGTAGAAGAGCACAATTTGGAATTTTATAAGAAAAAAACTAGTAATTTAGGAAACTAATTTTTACACCACCTTTTACAGATTTTTAATTGAATCAGCATTATACTCCATTCAAGAAATTTGTGTAACTGAAAATCGCTTTAAAACATAAACATTATCTCCATTGATTGTTCTATCATGTTTGTTTTCTGTTACTTTAATTTGCATTTTACGTGTTAATCAGCTGGGCTAATTGTTTAGAGAAAGGAATATCAATTGAAGGTCATTAATTTTTATATATTTTCTGTTTTGGACAACTGTAAAATCACTAGTTTTAACAATCTAGGTAAGAAAACTTATTTTGACACAATTTTGTGTACCAATCTGTACATTTTATGAAATAAAGATGATGATAAAGATAAAGATACGAGTAACAGCTGATTGACATAAAAATGTTTAAAAATTATCCGTTATTTATGGAAAACCCTTTACTTCATAGTTAATAAAAAAGAAATATATTTATTTACCCTTTTTAATAATACGCATAAAGAAAAACAAAACAAAAGACTTGGGATAAAACAGTTTACTAAGTATAACATTTTTAGATTGAAAGGCAGCCATGGTTATGCGATAATTTTAGTGTATGTATATCTAGTTATAAATTTATAATAAATAATAATAAATATTTCATTCAGTTTATTTTACGTGGTAGTATACTTATCCTACTAATAAGTTACTACAGACAAAAAATTATTAGTGTTTAAAAATCTTATTAATAGAAATAAGCCAACACTTACGTTATACAGAATGAGCACAGACATAAACTGGATCAAGCTGTAAGTAGCCATGTACTTGAAAAGGCCAAAACTGGTGACTAAGGCACATCTTCCCTCTTTCATGAGGTCTAGAACACAAGTGACGTCTTGTCGTCGTGAAGTAAAGGGAGCGGCTATAGAGGCTTCTGCTTGAGATAGAGACACACTCACGTGCGCTGCCTTCAGAGCCTACGGTAGATAAATGAACAATTAATTGTTACATTTGTTTGGATTCATATACATAAATTAGGTCTTGGCTTCTGCATAAATTAAGACACATGTCACAAAGGACATATCATGTCACACATATATATTTACACCCTTATTAGCAATATGAGAGTTCCCCTGAATGCCAGGTAAAATAACTCCCAAATTGCTAAGGGTATAGTTATTTCCATTTTTACAATACAGAAATAAAACTGCACTATGGCCGTTTCAGAGATAACTTACATCAACGGGTGTGTAATGGTACAGTAGACTCCCTCTTATCCGGACACCTTTTAACCGGACATCGGTTTAACCGGACTACACTCGGCGGAAATGACATCTCTTTAACCGAGCAATTTTTTATCAGCACATCAGTTTAACCGGACTAGATCGGCAGGAAGTGGGCGGTACTGAAACGACCGTTCTCGTGGGAAAGATTTGAGACCAGTGATCATGTGTCTAAATACATTGCTCTCCTAAATTTAAGTCAAATACGCATTTAAATGGTCCGTTTTTACGAGTTTTTGGGGACGTCAGTTTAACCGGAAAAAGCGTTATCCGGACTGGCCTCAGTCCTGAGGAGTCCGGATAAGACGGAGTCTACTGTAAAGCATGATTACATTTATCACAAAATGTCTCAATCTGCATTGAGTCGACCAGAGGTTAAATACAAATTAGGGGAGAGTGGGGCACATTTGAACATGGGGCACATTTGAACGGTTTAAATTTCCCGTCATTTTTATACTCACAGGCCATTAGACCAGCTGTAAAATGTAGCCCTCAAATAGGACAACAGGTTGCTTTCATCTCCCTCCATTTCTAATCAGATCTTAGTTTGTTGTTGGGAAAAGGAGTTTTAGAGCGCCACAAAAAAACTTTTTTAGCAGTAGGGATTTGTAAATTTTCCACAGAAAAATTACATTACAGATAAGTTTGATCCATTTACCTTATGGCTTATACATATTTAGATACAATTATGCATTTCACATTGATAAATTACAATTCAAGAAAACATAATTTAACTTTTTGTAAGATGGTGCCTAGTGGGGTAGATTTGAACAGGAGTCTGAGGGGTACATTTGAACACCATGTTTTCCTCTGGTAAGCATGTTGTTCAAATGTACCCCCAACTGATTATATTTATTTTCTATACAAGACAGTAATGAATAATAATAATTTAATACCATAAGCTTCCTCAACCAACAATGAGTGTGAGAACTGCACTTGCAGCGAACGAATGTAATTTTGATATTAACTTTGCAACATTTAGCTACAAATAATGTGAATCTAAAACATTAAATGAAGAATTAGTTCCAATAGAAATTAGAACTGCTTTTATCAACTCAAATGCATAACAATTTCTGTGAAATACAAATTTTCATTTTACTTAATTAGTGTGTTCAATTGTACCCCACTTCTTGTTCAAAAGTACCCCACCAGTGGGGTACTTTTGAACGATTTGCATACCTTTGCGAAAACAGATATTGTTAACTTGGAGGGCTTAAAAAATAACTAAATTAAAGCTAACATTATTTTACAACAAAGTGTAATAATGTTTTTATCAAAAACACATAAGTTCACCTATTAAAAAATTAAAGTTTAAAAAGTGTTCAAATGTACCCCACTCTCCCCTACATATAAAAAGGGACACACAACATGAAAACGATTAGAGTATGTGCACAACATAAAAATTGGCAACCAACTGTTCAATCCTTGTCACTGCAGGAGGTAACTGAATGTCTGGAACAGCTGAAAAGAACAGCCGTAGTGCAGTTTTACCTCTGGATTGCAGATGGTAAGAACTAAATATATTTATATATTTACGCCACACTACATTATTTTGACGAACTTCCCACGCAAGGATTTAGTCCAGAAAACAGCTGTTTGCCGCCAGCTTATTCAAATGGGGTTTCATTGCGTAATACTGTTCTGCAATGAGTTTTACCGGACACCAATCAGCTGATTATACTGTATTTGCGTGGCAATGATTGGTTATAAACAAAAACATAACCTCTCTTAGAGGTTATGACTGGTGATGTTTAGTCCTTTAGTGGTTTGAAATATATAAGGATTCGTACGAATTAAGTAGTATGGCGTAAACTATCGTACGTATCTCGTCCAAAATGTGTGTACCGGACTCGTATGGTAATCCCGTACTCGACTTCGTCTCGCACGGGAACGACCACACTCGTCCGGTAAACACTTATTTTCAGGACTAGTAACGTAATAAACTATTTCACACAATCTGTCACACTCAACAATCAACATAAATAAGTCACTTGTGCTTTGTTTGAATTTAATTTTCCTACACTTTTAGGGATCTGAAACAATCAGGTGATATAGTAGCAATAATCTTTTGGGTACATAAAATTGGTGTTTAATCTTACTGTATAAAAACGGCTGTTTTCAGTACATGAGTTGTAGAGCTTAAGTAGTTGATTTATCTATCTCTAGGGTAAAAAAATCCATGTGAGCATTTACTCCCTTGTAAACTAAATTTTATACCAATTATCTACTCTAAATATAATACTGGCATGTATAATGGAATATTTCAATACAGTACACAACTGGCGACCAGGAGTTGATAATATAAGTAGCATAAACTCACTGTCTATAACAGCTAATATAATTATTTTCTCTACTAGATGTGGACAATATTTGTTCCTGTGTCCCAGGGGTACATTTAGCATGTATTGTCCCAGCTTATCACATGGTAAAACTCTTGTTGTAAAATACATTAAATACACATAACAAGCATACACAGTTTTGTACAATATGACGATTTACACCTTTTGATATTTGTAAGTACTCTAACCTCACTTTCTGCAACCACGTAAAAAAACTTATTTTGCAATGTTTAAAGTTTTTACAATAACTTTATATTTGCCATGTATTAGCCTGGGATTGTACACACAAAAACAGCACCTACAAACAGCTCCTGAAAAAAGCAGATGGTACCTCTGGGACATAGGGCAAAACAACTATCCATATCCAGTGAATACCGTTATAGACAATGCATTTTTACAACTAAAAGTATACTAAGAGATTTCAAAATTGTAAAAAACTTACACCACAATCATTTGCCCCATCTCCAACCATGGCAACAATATAATCCATCGACTGAAGGACTTCGACAAGTTGAGTTTTGTGGTTAGGAGACATTCGAGCAAACACAATACATTTGGTGGCAATCACCCCCACCATGGAGGGGAAATGGGTCCTTAGTAAAGACCAGTTAGTGCCATCTATGGCAAGATACCCTGAAGATGGGCCCATGGACAGTATATCTACCTAGAAACATGAATAATAAATTAGTTTTTGGATGAAAAATTACTGGGTTGGGGGAAAACATTGAAGAAAAGGAACTACAACAATTTAATTTACCTACCCAAAAAGAGTTCCACCAAGTTGACAGCACAAAAAGATCACAATCCATTTCATATTTTGCCCATACAAGGGGCTTTTTCAGAAGGAATTACAGTAGTAGTAGAATGGTACCATATGTGTGTGGACTATCTCAGTGAAAGTTTTGTTAACTGCCATTCTATCAGTCCCTTCTAAGGAAGCCCCAATTTAGGGAAAATATCATATTACAGTAGAGTCCCGCAAACTCGGCGTAATGTGGACTGGAAGGGTGCCGAGTTTGTGAAATGCCAGGTTATCGGGAACTAGGGTTAAAATAAGGACAATACAATTTTTAAGCTTTTTAACCTCTTTTTTTATATTAAAAGTCAGTATTAAGTCTTTAGATACAGTACAAAAAATCCTTGGTACGAGTTGTGAATGATTTTACTTGAACTGGCTTGAGTCCATGTTTAACTCGGACTCAAAATATCACTAATTTTCTGAGCCAGGTGATGTTCAAGCTATCCAGACTGCCAGGTTATTGAATGCCGAGTTTGCGGGACTCTACTGTAATGTTATTGTGAAAGTTTTGTGTGTTGTGTTATGGAAGTCTACTTTGGCAAATAATTAATCAATTACCGATTCAAACAACTGAAACACAGTACAACAACAGTTTCATATTGCTTTGAAATTACAACCTACCATATCTTGTCAGTCAAAAGATGCTTGCAATTGCAATAGATATTTTTTATGTTTCATTGAGTAAACAGTGTAACAAGATATAAATGTTTATTTCTTTGTAACCAAAGCTTTATTAGTTACATAACCTGGTTCAATATAAAGTTCAAGAGACCTTTTATGAATGAACTATAAATTAAACACAAAACAAAACTTACAAAGTCTGGCGAAGTCAATATGGAAAGTGATTTCAGTCGGATGACAGGGTTTTCAGGGTCATTTTTCAGGTCAACAGTGACCAATGAGAGAGGACAATCCCTTGGTAACATTCCACACTCTCTACTCACACTAACAGCTGTCAGTAGATTGTCTCCTGTAAAAGAAAAACATTCTATTAATAATAACAAGTGACTTGAAAACAAAATCTCATAACAGGCTTTTAATGTCTCTTATCAGTTAAAATGAAAAATACCCGAAACTAACAAATCATGGTGAAAAAGGCTAACTTGGTATAAGCCATCTCTTAGCACTTTGAGCCATAGCTTAGCACAGAGTCATGTGCGATTAGCAGTCGAGCACGGTAAGTATAAGGAACAAAAGGCAAACGTTAGTTGCCCTAGATTGAATTTGGAGGTGTTTTATTTTTTATTTGTCTATTTACAATCATCATACCTACATTACATAATTTTTTTTTTATTGTTGGCAATTTATATTTCTACCCAAATAAGATGAAGCACAATTAAAACACTGCAATATTGGCCTGTCGGCCAATGATTCCCTTTTGACAACCTATAATTAGGAGTATTTTTGCTAGTCATGCAACAACGGCTGATTTTAAAAGAAGTTCAGTAATCCAGCATTTTTAATCATCCAGATACTTCGAAGTCCTGAAAGATTCAGATTAACAAGCATCTACTTTATTGTTAGTGGGGAAGGCTATTTAATATGCTATTTTTAGTGATGGGTCAGTTCCAGAAATTTTTCAATTCCAAGTGTTTTGATTTTTTGATATTGATTCTCGATTCCGATTCCATTATGTTAAGAACATTTCCCGCGGCATGTAGACATTATCATTGTCTCCCGCAGTCACGGCAAACCTCTGAATAACCCCCACGGTAAAGAAAACATCATCGTCTTCGCCGATCGCGATAACATTTTGTTCACGTGTAGACATCGTCATTGTCTCCCGTGGTCACGACAAAACCCCGAATAACCCCCACGGTAACGAAACATCAGCACTGTATTCCACGATCGCGGCAGTCTTTTATTGATTTCCCGCGGAATCGACCCATACCTAGCTATTTTGATACTTTGTAAAACATTGATGATTTTTGATGAAATTAGATATATTTATTTACCTGTGACCATTACACACTTGATCCTTGCTTTCTGCAGTTCACTGATAACCTGCCTGGACTTGGGCTTTAAAGTATTCTGCATCAAAAGTAATCCAAGAAATGTGAGATCTTTTTCCACCTAAAAGAGTAGAAAATGAATACTATACAATAGACTGAAAACATATGCAAATTATTTTTATGATCTGGGGCCTGTTTCATAACGAAGTACAAGTTACAAGTTGTAACTAGTAACTTGTAATTTCCATAAGATTTGCATTGGGAAATCAGCTTATTGACTAATAATATTGGTTTGTAGTTCATTCCAAATGCCTTGAATTTTTCTTAACAATAAGATTATTTGGTTGTAATATTTAAAATATGTAGTGTAACATCATGTCTCCTTTTCTGTCGTTAGCTATATTGTATTCATTAACTGACTGAGTTATAATTTTAACTGTTTTATGACATTGTCAATAATTAATAAAATAATATTAAGACTCCCACTGTGACTACAGGGTCTTCTTGGATAAAAAATTTGAATAATAACATATCCCAGATTTCCCCCGAGGGTACTTTTTTTACAAAAGTTAAAAGCAAAAGCGTTATTACAAAATACTATGAGCTCAGGCTCAGAAGTTTGTTCAATAATGTTGTAGAGAAAATTAGGATATCAGAATCAGAATCAGAATCATCATTTATTGTCTTTCAGCATTACATACATGCAATAGACAGTGTCATTTTACATGCAAAATAAATAAAAAAATACATAACATACAATTTGTAACAGATAGGCTTATAACTATAATACTGATTTAAAAATTAACAGAATGCTCTTTATAAAATTCGTCTAGGCTGTAAAAAGGATTTTGGATCAGCCAGTCATACAACCTTTTTTTAAACACTTTAAGCTCCAGAAATTTACAGCTATCACTTAACTTATTAAATAATTTCAAACTAACTATATTAAAACTATCTTGACATTTACTTAACCTAGTATATGGCAGGTCTAGCATAGATTGGTTTCTTGTATTATGGCTATGGATATCTGATCTTAAAACTAATAAACCTAAATTAAAATCTTTTTTCACCTTCACCAAGCAAACAAATATATACAAATTTATCACAGTTTGAATTTTACATTTTTTAAACAAAGGTTTATGCCTAAGCTTTCCATTTTTTTCAAGAGAAACCTTATTCAAAATACGAAGTGCTTTTTTTTGGATTAACAAAACTTGATCTATATGGGCACTATTTCCCCAAAGAATTAGGCCATAATTTATGACTGACTGGAAAAATGCGAAATAAGCTGTTCTATGACTCAGGTACAATATCCATCAGTGATTTGAGCAAGAAGGTGACTCTAGATAGTTTACTACATACTAACTCAACATGTTTTTCCCAAGATAAAGTACTATCAATTACAACTCCTAGAATTTTAATATTTGTTTTCTGATCCTGGTTGTTGGCCCTTAGAGTACAAAGAAGATTTTGAGTTTTTTCTAGGTTTAAAAGGAGGTTATTTGAGCTGAACCACATCTTAGCTTTATCTAAAGTTTGTTCAATTGTTGATTTGAGATGGTCATAATCTGAATGGACACTTAAAAAACTAGTATCATCAGCAAATATAATAGTTGATGAGTTGGTTATATTGCTAGCTATATCATTAATTACCAGAATAAAAAGTAGTGGTCCAATCACTGAACCCTGTGGCACTCCGGTGTTCACTTCAGAACAGTTTGACACATTACCACCTGCATCAACATATTGACTTCTCCCACTCAGATATGATTCAAAGAACTTGAGTTGAACACCACCGATGCCATAGTGATTAAGCTTATTTAAAAGAATTTGGTGATCAACACAATCGAAAGCCTTGCTCAGATCACAGGCAGTGATCTGGGCAAGACTTCCGCCTTCAAAAGCCAAAAGGATCTCTGAGATCATTTCTTCTAGGGCATCAGTAGTACAGGTTAAATACTGGGTAGCACATAATTCCAGACAAAACAAAACTTTACTGCTTTACTCTAAACAAAGGGTGTTGAATCTTATTACCAAAGTTATCTTTTACACTGATGTGAAATTACAACGGAAATCAATATTTATCTCCTGAGTGCTTTGCTGAACTATCTGTAGTATTTTAATAACTGTAGATATTAGCCTCCGATCGCCGAATAATATTAAATAAGATTATCTTAGATGGATAGCCTAAAAGAGAGTATTCAAACCCTTTTTAAATTTAAAGTACATACCTCATGTCGTTGGGATCGTTGAGCTTGCAGCCAGGTAAATTTGCGAGGCAGCTTGTTGTATGCTAGGGCTATCACACGGTAACCACGAGCAGTATACTCACACAAGACTGTCTCAATGTTATCAGGTACTGTGACAAACCAAGGAGATTAAGAATGTATCAAATATATGTAGGAAGACCTCGACTAAACGAAGTAATTGAGGGTAAGGTACCACAGGCAACTGGAAAGCAACAAACTTTGAATTTACTATTTACGCCTCCTTGAAGTTGCCATTAGGAAAAATTACTTAATCAAATATCTCAATATTGTTATTGAACTAGTAAGTTAATACTTGTGGTATTTTCATGGGCTTAGTTGTGCGTTTCAGTTTGTGGATAATGTGCCACAAAGTAGATCCACCTAGGATGATCAAAATTCTTCCTTGTTGAATTAAATTAAGTCCTCTTAAATTATCAGTGCATTGCAACACCTAAACCCTGGAGAATAAATTTTTGTGAGTGTAATTTACAAAAACTCAAACATTGCAGTGATAAAGATATGGTACGGGTTTATACCTTCATAAATTTAACTAAACAAAGATTTTGGCATAAAATTGGAGCTAAACTAGTTTTTGTTGTATTTTTGAAACGCTAAACCTTAGATGCAAAATTCTATAAGGGGACCTCTAACTAAAAAAGTTTAAAAAAAATTGCAAAATGTATCAAATTATGTAAAACGTCGCCTCTTAAGTTTAAAAGAATTTGAACTCAGTGCAATGTGTACTTCTTCGTATAATGTTTTTACAAATTCATATTTACCTGAACTGGGAAGACAGATGTTGACTATACTCTCGGGAGCACCCTTAGTGAACACGGTCATGTGATTGGAGCCGAGGACTCTGGCAATGACAGTCATCGTCATGGAGGTGGTGTTGAATGGAAACTGCTTCACTACACCTATTTCATAAGGCATCTGAAATAAAACACACAATAGAATAAAATACTAGTACCACTTATTTGGAATGTTTTGAATAAAGTAGTAATACTAGTTTCAATGTGATTGAAATTCAAACATTTATTTGATGCTTACCTCAAAAATAGTTTCCCCCTCGTCAAGGTTGTCAAGCATTTCATCAAGTATCTGGAAAAATATGTAAACATTAATGTATAATATAAACTATATAGTTAATGTTAGGCTTAGGTATACAGGGTGAAAAAAGTGTTGGGACAGTTAAACATAAAAAAATAACAAAGATTGAGCTACAAAAAATTTGTATAAACTTCCTAGAGGCATTAAAATCATTTAACCTCCAACCGTTTTTTAAAGTAGCTGTTTCGGTTCAGTTCTTAGAATTGAAAAGTTTCAACATAACAGCATTGCTGTTTACTTTCATAACAGCATAGTTTTACTCATAACAACACGGGTAACGAACCAATGAGCAAGAATTGAGAGAGAAGAAGTAAAATTGTAATGATTTGAACTTCAACTAATCACCTGTTCAGACCAATTTAATTGTTGAGTGGTGCAATTCGTGTTTGCTACAATGTTTCGTTGCATCACCGTCAGTGGCTATGAAACAAAAACATAACCTCTCTTAGAAGTTTTGAGTAGTGATTTTTAGTAATCAAAACACTGTCGTAGGTAAAGTAGTGTACGCAACTCGGGTAAATAGTGTTAACAACACTCGTTGAAGTTTTTTTTGTGTCGTTAACACTATCTTTGCACAATTGATGCGTAAACTACTACTAACACATTATTTAGTGATAAACTACCTCCTCAGGGGGATAGCCCGCTGGAAGACTTATTCAAACTCACCACAATAGAGTTGGCTGCTGATGATCTTTTTGGCTTCACCACTGCTGGAATCAGCAAGTCATATTTGGTTGTATCTTCTCCAGGCTCCTCCAATTCCTGTACACAACCATTGCCTATTTTAGTACCAGCTTTTTGATACCACTTAACTTACTGAGCAACAATCACCTTTGTGAATCCTGATCTTCAGGGGAAGACCACAGATCAAAGAACACACTTTGATCATGGAAGCCTATTTTCTAGTTTAAGAATCACCTTTTTCAATGAGGCACTTTTACCTATGGTTTGCCCCAGAATTATTAAAATTTCATGATAGTTTGCAATATTTATAAACATTATCTATTGTTATTTCAAGTTTAATTTTTATGTTTAATTTATTCTTTCCCTCTATTCAAAACTATAGTTCAAGCCTTATATTGTTCTGAGAATAAGAGGAGTAAACCCATTGGCACCGGCCTATCACACTGTAGAATCATCATGTGCTCTAAGGTAAAAAAATGGTTAACCATTTAAATTCTAAAATAAATTCTAACCCATTGCAAAGCGCTGAACATGCTGAGATCTAGAGGGTCCCCCGAGAGCTTCTTGTCAATGTAGGTGAGTGTATGACAGCAAGCCATGGTTTGAGTGAGGGGTGACTTGGAATCTAGTGTAGAGAGATCTGTCACTAAAGTGTCTCCATCTAGATTTGTCTTACCACAAGGTACAACTCCAAGTACGTCCAACCCTTCTTCTGTAAGGGTTCCTGTCTGCAAAACCAATATAACTGAGCAACACTTTTGGTAAACATATTTAAAACATAACTCGAGTAATTAAACTTGACTACTTCTTGTCTTAGTGTGTAATAAAATAGTCATATTCATTTAATACCCATATTTTACTCATCTTTATGGTATCTTTGATTATGTTTCAATACCGAGAGCGTGTGATTTACGGCAAAGATGATTAACGGAGTTTTTTTGCTTGTTAAATTTGTTTGTTGGGGTTTTGCCAAAGCAGCAGATATCTAGAAGCATCAGTCCATCCAACAGTTTTTCAAAAGCCCTATGATTAACAAATCTAAGCCAGTTTTGAACCATCAAAAATCCATACACCTACTGACTTTTCTCAGGATTGGACCGGTAAACTTCTGATCACCAGGTGAACACTATAACCACTCAGCTAACCAGCTAAATTTGATAATGAACAATCGTCTCATTCATGTAACACCCATAATTTATTAATCTTTGCCTTAAACTACACAACCTGGCAAGATGGAATTGTAGTTAATGGATTAATACGGTGTGTAAATTAAGTATTGAAACAAATCTGTATTATTTAAACCGAAATAGATAGAAATATTCTTTTTGTGGCATTCCAATGTGTGGTTTGTGGTCTTATATGTATTGTTAAAGGGGTAAAAAAATATTGTTGATGTAAAAAATTGCGGAACCTTTGTTAACAATCAATGCCACAATCAGAATATTTCTATCTGTTTCGGTTTAAAAATACAGGTTCGTTTCATTTTTTCTGAAATTAATGCTTTTTCACATAAATCAAATTTTTGAATACTTGCAACTTTGACTAGGGGTGAGATATCCACCTCGGGTTTGTGTAATTGTGTTTCTTATGACACATCCTTTGAAATGAGGGGTCACTCAATAGGGGTTGCTATTTGAAAAAAATAAGTCACCCCCTACCCACTACCCTGGTAGGGGAGTTAAAAAATATTTTTGATATATAAAATTGCGGATCCTTTATTAAAAATTAATGCCACAAACAGAATATTTCTATCTACTTCAGTTTTTAAAATAAAGATTTGTTTCAATACTTAATTTACACACTGTATATTTATTTCCTTCAAATTTTTAAAACAATACCTACACTCAAATCAGTAAAATAGATGCAGGGATCCTGTAAACCTGTCATTACTTTAACAAGTTTAATAAGTATTTAATATTTGGTATATTTTGAAGAATACAGTTCTTATGTGAAATATAGAACAATTAAATGTCACATAACCACTAATTGAATTATTTTTGTGCTATACTATATGTAAAAATTTTTTAATTAAAAATGTTTAACTATCTGGTTTCAATGGTAACAAAAATGAGAAATTACATCCTTTGAATCGGAAGAATCATTTAAAAGTGTAATATCTTAGATACTTATTTTCTAAAAAAAATTATTCCTATGAGTTCTTAGTATGCAAACCTTAATTAAATCTCATGATTTAATAGTAAAAGCCAGACTCACTTTGTCAAAGCATATGAGCTTCACTTTTCCCCATACACTTATTAGAGAGACTGAGGTACTAAAGATATTTTGTTTCTTGAGCCTTTTTAGCGAATAGTTATTGCCTATTGTTATGGCCGCTGGTAAGGCTGGCGGGACTACAATGGTGATTATGTCCAAGCTTCGCAGAATCATGTCTTCAATTGCTGCCTAAACATCAAATTTATAATCAATCCTTACATTATAAAAAATCGGTATCTATGTACAAACCTGTTTCCTAGCCTTTTTAGTCTACCTGGGACTGGCCCAGGCCTTAAACTCGAACTTTGCAAAACTCTCGCGGCTGTTTTCTTTTTGGCTCCCCTTCTAGCTTCAGTAGCTTTTTTACCCAAATCATAATTTCCAAAATGTTATCAAACATTTGATAAATACACAAGAAGATAAGATCATCAATATTAAAGAAGGGCGAATTTGATTAAGAAAGAAAAATATAGTGGTGAAAATTAATATAGAGGTAACAAAAATCTATTTTCTTTGCCGTATGTTTCATAATCAAATTCACCCTTATTTAGTATCGATCATCTTATATTTTTATAAAATTTTTGAAATTATGACAAGGACAAAAAAGTTACTGGAGCTAGTAAGTGCTTGTAAGTTTGTAAAGTTGTAAGCTTGTAAATAGGGAAACTAAAAGGTGACTAATTGGGACGAGTGCACAGTTCCGGTTTATGGCCCGGGCCATAGACTGAGGGGCAGGAGACAGGTTTGATTACACAGACTATAGTTTATATGTTTAGTCAAAAGTATTTGGTTCTTAATATGAGGAAAATAATATCCATGTATAAGACATATTATAGAGGGATAGATATAGGAAGACAACATGACAAGAGAGGTAGTTGAAAACAAACTAAAAGCACCCCTGAGAAAATACTGATCAAGATGGTTTGGACATGTGAGAAGAGAGAATTCATAGGAAAATGGAGTTGATTGTGATAGAGGAAAGGATACATAGAGAAAAGACTTAAAGAAGGTGGTTATTATGAGAAATAAGAGGTAAGAGTAATGTGGAGATGTGGCAGATAGTGGAGTTAGGGGGCGTGCCTACGGCAAGGGGGGGGGGACGAGCGGGACCTCCAGGACTAAAATATTTTAATATTAAATTCCCAAAATAAAAAGTTAATATTTAGTATGATATTTTGTTCTTTTAGATAACCTAAATCAGCAATATTGATCACATATTTTTCCAAAATTTCCCACCTGGCTGGGGGATATTCCACACCCCTAGGTCCCCACGGAAGGCCATTCCCTGGGCACGCCAATGAGTGGAGTAGGAGGAGAAAATACTGTGGAGGGAATGGAAGCTTATGGAGAGCACAGTTGAGGCTTAGACCCAAAATAATTGGAACAGAAGATATATAGCTTAACATAACCTTTATGTTAAAGTGTACTTATATTTTACATTAGCAGCAATTTGATTTATGTGCAATGTAATTATTTTATTTTCTTTGGCTAAATTGTTTATGAACTTGGCGAACATTGATCAAATGCCCATGATAAGTCAACAATCCTGAACTATGATGGGTTCAAAATATGAACAGCAAGATGTATAATTAATTGTCTATAGTTGTAAAGGCTACTTGAAATATTAAATGTTAACTTTGCTAAGATACTTACCCCATGTAGTATGTAAAGGTAGATGCTCAAACCAGTGCCAATGAGGGCAATGAAAAACATCAGAAATAGGAACTTCATACTATCTGTGTAGAGATGAAACCCGTAGTTCTTAGGATACAAAATGGATCGAACTAGCTGTCCATTGGCAGTATCGGCGCCAGTTCTAACTACTAAAGCGAGTACCTGGAATCCACCATGGATAAGTTTCACCAGTATAAATTTTGGAGACAGAAAGCTCTAAAGTAAGGTTGTTTGATTATGATGAGGTTAGTGTTAATAATAGCTCGGAAGAGTTATAGTAAAGCAAGAGTTTTGGACGTAGCAAATGTAGATTGAACAATGATATTTTTTTTTATCAAGATAAGTCATTTTTGTGTCTTTATCTTAGCCTATGAAAATTTCTCGCGATAATGGAGGGTTAAAAACCCCAAATAGTTAAATAGTTAGAGAGTTAAATAAATGAAATAAAATAAATAAATAGTAAATAATAAATTAATACATTTAAAAATAAAATAAATAGTAAATATTTAAATAGTTAGTTGATAGATCAATTTGGGTGTGTTGCTAGCCTAGTGGTTAGAGTCTTGGACTTTGGTGTGGGAGGAACGGGTTCAATTCCTGGCACATTCACAAAACATTTCATTGGTTTGGACCACTTTCCCTTAAAAGCGTTTGACTTCTACATCATAAAAAAAATGCCACTGTGTTAATTTCAGCTTTAATAAAACAACTGAACAAACAATAACATTTTACATTTTTTTGAGTTTGATGAAATTTTGGTCTCGCACTACAGTAAAAGTTAACAATGAAAAAATTTAAATAATCACTAAGAAAAAGGTGTATTAATACATTTCAGTGGAACAATTTGTTTTAAACTTAGAATGCTTGGAGAGCCGCCTACATATGATTCACACACACACCCAGTTGTTTTGTCTATACATTTGTCTGGTGATGTTATTACTGTCGAGAGTGAATGCAGGACTTTTGCTTCCCACAGTAACAGAGATGACCTGATAGTTATAACTTTGCCTTTCAATACAAATATTTGATCTAAAACAATTACAAGCACTGAGTTGCTTTACACTACAAGGTAACAGACCTATAATACTGTGGTGACACTATGGTAGGTGCTGCAGGAGGTAGGAAACAACATGGTAGTCAGGAGTGGAGGCAGGAACTTTCAAGTTGAGTTGTCTCAGCTGGAAGTTAAGTCATAAGGTAACATGACAAACATTGAATCACAATTCATCAATACGTTATTAATTATTAGCTCATTAATAAGTTACTAAATGGTTTTGAGACAAAGACTTACACTGTAGAATCAAAAGTCAAATTTCATATGATAAAAGTGATATAATTTACACACAGCTGCTTTACAAGAAATACATTGTTAGTTGTAGTGATCCTGTAAATATAAAAACCAGCGGTTTATGCTTGAGTTTTAACCATTTTTATGATTTTGATCCATGGTAACATTTATAATTTTATGGTTTTGATTACCTTATTTGTGGTCTAGCAGTGTGCAGGGGCAATAGTGTAGTATGGTTTAGCAAAGATCATACGTTGTTGCAGAGACCAAAAAGAGAGCAAAACAGTGGGGATAAGAGCAATGTCCTTCCCGAGGTGGCCCTGCCCTTACATAACGCGACAGATTCAGAGCAGGATGTCGATTAAACACTTCTGGTGGTGAAACTAGCAACCACCAGTTACATCTGCCAACCTTCATGCCACTGGTGTAGACATGAAGACATTGGACATAAACTGGGCCCATGGTTGAGCATCATCTGGAGTTGTAAGGCTAAACTGTGAGGAGCAGCAGCAGCATAGTGGGGGGGGGGGGAGATTGATTGCTGATTCAGAGCCTATGTCATAGCTTGACTGGACTACAGTAGACTCCCTCTTATCCGGACACCTTTTAACCGGACATCGGTTTAACTGGACTACACTCGGCAGAAATGTCATCTCTTTAACCGGACAACTTTTATCAGCACATCTAAATAACCGGACTTGATCAGCAGGAAGTGGGCAGTACTGAAACGACTGTTCTCATGGGAAAGATTTGAGACCAGCGATAACGTGTATAAACACAATGCTCTCCAAAATTTCAGTCAAATATTTGGGTTGCATGCATTTAAGTGGTACGTTTTAACGAGTTTTTGGGGTTGTCGGTTTAACCGGAAAAACTGTTATCCGGATTGGCCTCGGTCCCGAGCAGTAGAGAAGAGATAGAAACTACAAAATTTGAATCATGAACTATTGCTGAATCTAGTCTCAGGGCCTGGCTAGCGCAAGATTTTTTAGTTTACCAATTTGACACCTTTGTAGGAGTAGTACAACTGCATTGGTAGAGAAGAAATCTACTTTGTATGAAAAGGAGGTAAGGGATACAAAATGAGAGTGAAAATGGTGAGAGGGAACACTTCTAGTATGGTGAGTAGATACTTCTACAGTAGAAGTCAAGGAGATCAGCCAAGGGTATATCTCAAATCTCAAGGACAACATGAAGGAAGCATAAAGAAGAACTTGCAGGAAAGTAAGGTGCTCAATCAATATAAGACACAAACTCATTAACAAGCTCTTTAGGGCTAGAATCTGAGTCATCAAAGAAAAAAAAGGATAGAAAGATTTCAATTTGGTGAAAAACTGTAATAGAGTTCATAAACCTAATACCATCTGAACACAACCTGGTCAATAGTCCCAAAAAAGGAAAACCCCCCCCCCCCCCCCCCAACTAACCCCCTAATCTTGAAGAGATACTAGAAGGTACTTACGTTAAGTGAGGTCAGACAATGAGGAAGGTTTTTGTTTTTAATGGAACCACGACATACACCTATAGTTGCAGTCCTAAAAATTTGAAATAGAAAAAAACTTAACACAAAGGACATAGTCATAAGCAAATATTATGACCTGAAATGGAAATTATGGAAATTGTCAATTAAACTTGTAGGTGGTTACAAATTATATACATTTTTGGATTACAATAGACTGAGGATGAGGTGTTAGATTTGAACATGTTTGCTAGTTAAGAGATTTTGGATCAAAACGAATTAAATGTAAACTGATTGGTTCTAGCAATAGCCATGTTGTTAGAGACATACACCCATCCATCTACTCACCTTATTGTTTTCGTAGAACCGAGACTGCACGATACGTGTGCCTCTGTACAGGGTGTGACGGCTATGAGCGGCGTGGGGATCATACACCTCGTCCACATAAGCTGGAGGGCTCTTCATCACCGGAACACTCTCTCCTGCATACGAAAAGTGGGGTTAGTTGTGCATATTCACTATGCCTACTAACAGTTTGCTGTTCTGCCAACAAGTTACAAAACTATAGTATAAAAATGACTAACAAAAAAATGCATTTTCAAGCTTTTCTGAGTTAGATAATTTATTCAGGACCCAAATAAAACAGGTTACGAGTGAATATTACATTTAAATCTTGCACACTTAACTCCTGATTACCCAATACCCCGATAGTGGATTTCTCACCAAACATGAAAAGAATTTGTACACTAGTTACACAGAACCATGTGTTGGTGTTATTTACAATCCTGAAAGCTATTCTGGTGGCAAACTATAGAACTTAGTAGCTTTAACCGTTACATGGTACATTGCCTTTGCCATTTGAATCTAGCGCACAGGAGTCATACATATCAGACTATTGGAGCACTAGCCAATCAGCCGCACCATAACCATTTTTCAAGTAAATAATTATTTTATTTTATTTAGTTTAATTCGTGTATATATAAATGTCATTTTGTAGTAAATTAAGTAACTATGTAAGAAAAAATTAAAGAACATTTTCTATTTTGTGTAATGTCTTGGTTCTGTTACTCCTGATAACCACCCTTCTGATCCATATTACACTTTGTGGGACTGTATTTAAAGCAGTGAAGTATAATATCTCCAAATGTATGCGAATGACACAAATTGACATTGTTATACATTAAATAGAATCAACACATCTGTAATTCCACCAATACCTGTAAGAACGCTTTCATTAACTATGCAGTTTCCGCTTAGCAAAAGGGCATCGCAAGTCATTAGACATCCGTGAGGGGGGATGACTATTGTGTCTCCAGGAACTAAATCTTCTGATTCAATTTCTGCAGTCTCTGAAAAAGAACAAACATGATAGAATTGTGAAAATAATGGATATTCTCTAATATTTCTAAATAAGGAATCCAATACATGGTCAAAATTTACAACATTCTAAGCAAAAAAAAAAAAAAAAACAAATTTAGAAAACCTTTAAAAAAAATTCCTACATCCTATAGAGGAAATTTCAGTTTCTGCGTCCACTTTTGCCAAACCTAACCCATCTAACATGTTGTTTCGTATCTCCTAAAGCTTCGTTGTACAGTAGAGTCTCGATTATCCGACCTGAATCAGTAGAAGGAAGGTCAGTTAAAACAGAAAAAAAATACTAAAACCATGGTAAACATGGTCAAAATCATCAAATTACAAAGTCGATTGTCAAACATATTCGAGGCTTTAGGTTGGTTTGTGACGTAAATGATCACAAATAAATGTAAAAAGGAAAAACACCACAACTGTAACTTTAATATGTACGACGAAGGAATACTCGTCTACTTAGCCACAGGTGTCTTTTAGTAACCCAACTAAGACATGAGGGGTGGCAGAAAGGTATCCAGATATAAAAAGTTGATAAACTGGGAACTGTAGTACTGAATTTAGCAATCAGACAAAATATCAGAAAGTGCAGATGCTTAAAGCCTAGTGCGTATCTTCCGAGGAGAAACAGGGGCGGCAAAATGGGTGGTTTCGATATACCCGCTTCCAGTGTACAGTTATACCACACGGAGTAGAATTAACACATGATTTCTCCGTACTCAATATCGCTGGAGGGTCAGAAAACAGATTTAGTAGGAAACCCGGTGTAGCAAAAATAAGAAATTAAATACTAATCCTATCGTAACAGCTGCTTCTACGTTTCAAAATAAGTAACTCATTGGAGGCATTTTGCCTTAAAACAGTATGAAGTTGGTACGTAGATTAAGGTCTGCAGTTATAACCAAGCGAGCTATTTCAAATCACACAAGTCTTGTGTTCTTTACTTATCCCACCACTATTCTGGCTGTCCAACTTTTTTCTCCATAAACATCTGTCTGGCTGACCCTTTTTCCACAGAAACCCAATCACAGAACATGATTCATATTTGGCGGGAACATCGATGTAAGCTAGAATAGTAGTTAGTGAGGGAAGTTAAGAACATGAAATGGTGTTGGATTTTAACTAGCTTACTTGATCAAAATTTATGGGAAATCCTCGTTTTGAAAATGTTGTAATATCTAGTGAATCAGGGTTGCTGCTGGTTCAGAGGATAATTCTCAAGCACTACTGTACCGTGTGCTCTGGAGAGAGGTGGTCAAGTGATAGAGGGGGCTTTGGCTCCTGAGGTGCATGATTCAAATCCTGCCAATCACTAATAGCTTAAGCTAAATTATAATGCTGCAGCTATAAAGGTCTAACCTCGAGTACTGTTAGGTGTAAAATAGTTCTGGGCCAGAGCCTTCCAAGGATATGACGAAAGGACATTAAAAAAACCTACTGAATGCTCACTCAAAGATTGCCTCAATGTTAACAAGTACCTCAAAGACATCTCATCAAAATAAGTTTTGGAAGATGTATACGTATGTGTCATGAATGGAACCTACCTCCGTCATCAAGGCTCACTGTTACTTTGTTGGAGTTGCTCTCTTCCACAAGTTTATTGGTCATCAGACTTATCTGCAACAGTGGTATAATACAATTAAATGTCAATTCAAAAGTGTCATTTGTTTAACTAAAATTGAAAATGTCAAACAAAGTTATAAGTCTCCAAAAGCAGTAAACCTTGTAGAGGTAAGAGGTAAGTAACTTAAGTGTATTGATCAACTTATCCTGCATGCTGTTAATGGTCATATATGTAATGGTCAATTTAGATGTTGGATTGTTCTTTATTATGAAGTGAATGGGAGCAAAGTGTCAAGTTGGATTCTAAATTTTAAAATTTTTGATTTATTTTGTTAAGAGCATAGATTAAAGTATTACAAAATAATGTTGATATTCTGAAAATGTCAAAATATCACTGATGTAAAAGTTGTTAAAATTTAATATGTTAAATATGTATACATAATAGTTTAAGCAATGATAAAACTGTTTATTTGGGGACTACACAATGTGTGTATTATTACTATCTATTTCTGAGAATCTGAATTTGCCTCTTGTGACTTATATAATTGACACAACTAATAATATAAAACCAAATCTCTTTGTTGAGTAATAACAACAAATCATTGTAAAAAATTGTATCTATTTTATGTATAGGGAGTTTGCATGAATGTTAACTACCTAAAAAATCATATAATTCCAGATTCTAAGGATTAAGATAATTACAATTAATGGATGGTGAATGAAAACTATTATTACGATTCTGTGTGTTTATAACTATCCGGCATTTTACTAGTCTTCCGTCCAATAACTACTTAATTAAAATCCATAACACTCAATAAACTGCATTATTTTACTGATACTATTAATTTTTTCTCTATTTAGGTATAAGAAGTTTAGGGTAAATCTAACTGTTTCTTACCTCATAGTATAATAAGAGAAATGCATTAATGTAATTTATTTACCGGCTAAAAAATCACCTCCTAATTAAAATTAAAGTTAACATAGTAACACAAATAAAACTTCATAAGGGGGAGTGATAATCACATTCAGGACCTATTTTTATGTCATGAAGTTGGCTATCAAGGACATTTAATCAACAGAAAACATGCATAGCAGGCATTAAAAAACAAAACACAAGCCAATAAATACATCATACAGCAAAATTTATGTTAACCAGTTAAAAATACATTAAATTAAAAAAAGAGTTAGTCAGTTTTATCACAACTAGACTAAACACAGTGGAACATACTTAATTCAAATTTTCTTTGATTAAAATTTTTTTTTATTCTTCAAATTGCTATAAAGCCTATATTGAGTATTGAAATTTCGCAGTTAATTTGAATATAATATATAACATAATAATGGGAGCGAAGGGGTCGACCCCCTTGGGCATGTTTTTCTTTTATTGCATGTAATAGCATAGACAAAAAGAAATAAATATAGACTGTCAGCTGTGCTGCGGTTAGCGTATATTCCGGCGCCGACCGCTAGGGGTAATGTGTAGTTACGGCGCACACCGCTGCATCATCAAGCGCTAGCGACCGTTTCCATAACAACTTGGTAGTTGGGAGTAGTGTTGCCAACTTTGGAGGAATTCCCCGGAATTGGTGTTTACTGACTTTTTTAGTATTAATCAATGAAATAATTTAAAATGCCATATTTTATTGTATTTTTTTAAACGTATATTTTTATACTTTTGTAATTTCATTACAATGATTCAAAGTTTTTCTTTGTTAATCCATAATTTTAGGAAGTGGTTTATTGGAAGGTTTTGTTTTATATTTGCAAGGTCAAAAACTAATTAACCAGGGTGTCTAGTATGTGGGGAAAACGGGAAAGTCAGGTATTAGTATTGAATTTCAAAATGGTCTCGAAAAGTTGGGATTTAGTCTTTATTTTTATATCAAAGTCGGGAAATTTCATGATTTTATCTCGATCGCACTAGACAACGATCACGTTTCCGTGACGGCGCAAAACGATGATGATGTCTACACGACCGCGGGAGATGTCCTTAAACCGGGACCGTGCTATTTATGCTATAATAGACGTCGTTTTCGAGACCGCGGGAAAAATGATCACGTCTTTTCTGCGATCGCGCAAGACGATAATGTCTACCTACACGGCCCCTGAAGATGTTCACAATTTTGCCGCAATCGTCGACGACGATGACGTTTCGTGACCACGGCATTCAATGATGATGTCTACACAGCCGCGGAAGATGTTCATGATTTTGACGCGATTGCAGAAGACGACACTAGCGATATAGTAATCATTTCGTTTGCAAGAGTGGTAGTGCTGGTAACAGCTGGCGAGTAGTCGTGGTCGACACCGAATCGAATACCGATAACCGATATCGAACGGCGATAACGCTCTAGCGGCAGATCGCAAAACCTTTCTTTGACAGTCTATATTTACTCTATTGTCTATGGTAATAGTCCATAGGCCAACACTAACACATTGTGCTATTATTTGTCACACTAAATTCCTTGTCATCTATTTAGAGAATGTCAAGCGGAGGTTAGTTTACAAAACTTCGTTTACGCTCACTGAAGCTATGAAATCAGAATGGTAAATGATGAGAGTAAGTATTCTACTTTCGGGTTGGTGGGGGTGGCTTCACCTCAAATCCCCCCCCTCAATCTAAAGCTGGATCCACCACTGTACACCTTTGACATGGCCGTTACATATAACTGTAACGAAGGGATTAAGTAGATGAATGAACTGAAAAACTTGCATTAAGACACTGCACAGTATTGGAAAAAGGCCTAATACTGCGCACCACTAACCAGTTAAGGTCATTGCCTTCTCCTCCCCTACTTCCTAAGCAACCTTAATGTCAATGACGCCGTTTCACCATTGGCCGGTCGCCACTAAACCTAAACCACCTAAACTACCTACCAACCCTTGATTTTGCTCAGCTGATTATTTTTAGTGAACATATACACATTTTATAAGCAATCTTATCCTTTTGTCAGTTTTAAATTTTCAGTTTAAGTTTAGACATTGCTTGTTTACGCTTATAAGATAGTGGCATAGGGTTGGGGATCAGCTAAATAATGGTAGGGGACGTAAAGAACATGACGGTGGTGTAAGATTTCAACTACCTGGCTTGGCCGCGATTAGAGTTTCTCAAAATTGTTAATTTATAGACTAGCCTACCATTTGATCTTAACTTTCTGTTGGCTTGAACATTTTAAATTAATTAGTTGTGAAAGATTGGTAGTCAGTTACTTAAAGCATCCAACGTAGAGGTGTTTAAATTTCAAACTTAATTGATTTTAAAATATTTCCAAACGATTTTCAATTCTGCAACTTACTATTGTAGTATTTTTAAAAAAAGTTAGCAAAATGGATTTTTAGGATTTTGAATCTGGTTAAGCACTGGTTAGAATAAATGATTGGGGATGAACTACTGAAATTATGTCGATATCAATACAATGTGGAAGCTACAATCTGTTACGGCACCTAAAACCCAAAACATTTAAACAAACAATTAGTTGTATTAGTTAGACTACAATACACTCAACCTACACATGAATGAGCAAATACAAATCCACATACCTTACGAGTTTGAATGAGGGTGTCTATAATCGAATAAGCAGAAATTATAATAATGAAAACGGAGTAGAAAATATAAGTGTCATAGCACCAGAAGATTATACTGGCAATTTCAAAAACATAAAAAGGATTTAGTATTTCATCAATTAATAAACGCCAGTATGATTTAACTTCAACATTAATTTGGTTTCTTCCGTAAACTGCGAGCCTAGAAAAAGAATAATTTTACATCAAATCATAGAAACAAAAATCAAAGATAAATCAAATATCTACAAGTAAAATCTGAAATAGCTTATTAAATAAATTAACAATATTTTTTGGTTTTATGTTTTTATAAAAATGATTTTATTAAAAACAAACACTTTATAGGAATATTTTAGTTTGCATACTTTAAAAAATGTGAAAATGAGATATATAATTAAATAAAACACAAATCAGCAACAATTCCAACAATCCATTCTACACAACTCATCTCATGTGCATTTAAAATTGTTTTATTGTGTTTAACAATACACAAATCATGCCCATTCAATGCATAACTTTCAAAAGAATGGCAAGCAATAAAATAAGTAAATCCATCTCTCTGACTGGAAGGTAAGTAAATAGTTTCTGAATATAATTTCTGACCATGAATAAAATTAAGTTAATGCTGTATGCTGTGCAATAATGGCATGACCTTAAAATAAAAGAAGTTCTGTAATTATAGGTAATATAAACTTATACCGCATAATCTTACACACATTTAATTCTTTTTGTGATCTATAACAAACATTGGAATTGATCTAAGAGTGGAATTACATTTAGATTATTTATCATCTCTCCATTTAACAGTGTAACCTTGTGAGAAAAATTGAAATAGTCCAGTTAGCATGTAGGCTTCAATCAATGGCACTGTGACACATTTGAAGGTATAATATTAAAGGCAACGTTGTTGAATCTAAAACTATCTCAACTGGCAAACCAAACTTCAATTGAGGAACTATAAAAATCTGATAGGACTTGTGTAGAACATACAAATGGATATTTTATCTGGCATTAGTAGAGTTGAGTTATCTAAGAACGGTTTAAAATATTTAAACTTAAACATATAAGTCCGTGAAAATATGTTGTTGCCTTGAGAGAACTCCACAAGAAAACTACCTTTTGACTTAAGTCAGTGGCTAAAAATATTTAGTGTTTAAGAGAGAAATACAGGGTGCGGCAAAAAAACCGATCTATTTTCTACAGCGCAATGTTTAGAGACAGGTCGTCTGAGGTTGGTGGGGGTAGGCTCGTTGGAAAGCTTACACGATGCCATTATCTGTAGTCGTAGAGTAGTGGTCACTTGAGCAATGCACGTTTGTTATAGAGTCGTTTAAAAAAAGTAATGATTCAGTCATTGCAACTCAGCGGCATTTCCATGCATTCTTTAAATTAGGTCGACATGGAGAGGTCCCGTTGCGATTATCTGTATAATCAACCAAATTAAACAGATTAATACAAATTAATCTATAGGGATAAGAATTTAGATCAACACTCAAAATTAGTGTAACAGAGCAGTCAGACATGTTCAAAGCAGATGCTGGTTTTCGCGCGGGCCTACGAGGACTATTTTCCACAGCAGCACGAACTCTATAGAATATTAGTTGTCTGGCGTCCAATCGTCTTTGGACGGCTTGTCAGCTTCTTTTTTAACGCAGAAGCCATTGTTCTAAAGTTGGTAACCCACCACATGATTGTGCTATTTGACAGAATTCTTGTCGCCCTAATTAAAAGAATGCACGGAACTGCCACTGAGTTGCAATGACTGAATCATTACTTTTTAAATTTGATTCGATAACAAACACACATTGCTCATCAGGTGACCACTGCTCTATGACCACAGATAGCGCGCTGCATAAAATAGATCAGTTTTTTTTCCACACCCAGTATAATTCAAATAGTTCACCTGATAAAATATTAAGAGCCATTTTATTGGTAGCTATAAGCCCCGGAATTCTAATTGTCTCTGGTAAGCTAAGTGAAATCTAACCATTCACAAATAAACTAAATTATCCACTAGGCTTTCCCTTAAAACATAAAAAGATTTACAAGTAACTTTTATTTGTCGTTTTATCTAGTAAACTTTGACCAAAATAAGCCATCTTTGATTCCTATCCAATAACTAATCCCATCAAATACATTATGTCGTTTTATAAGAACGTTATCCATGATAAACAAACAAAATCAAAACAAAACTATTGACGAAGCACTTGATCTTGAACATGAGGCACTTACGTTTGTTTTTGTTGCTGAGGAGAAAGGCCATCTGTGTGGTTGTCAAGCAAAGTTTGAAGGGTATTTTTGTCGTTTGCTAACCCTTGTAACAGTCTGAACTCTCGAAGTTCTGGGGTCCAAATGAACTTGCGGAGTTGGTGTACAAAAAACCGCATTGTGCATCCAGCCCCATGCACTTCACTACCTGCAGTCACGTAGACTTTGTGTATCGTGTCTGTACCCCACGGGACCTACAACATATGGCAAGAACTAATCAGGAACAGTTTGGCTTGGAATTTGTTGGTGAATTAATTATTGCAAAAGTTGTATTACATCACATTTCAATACAAATCAGTGATCCAGCCTTGGATAAAAACAAGTTTCCAAACCTTTTGAAAAGCTGTCTCTAAAATTAAAATCGATAGGAACCAACGAATGTTTGTACAGAGTGTTTTTTTTTTTTTTAACACAACTCCAATTACAAAATATTAAATTCATTGTTTAGGGACAAAACAAGCTCATAAGTTGTCAGTACTGCTTCTTTTACTTCGTTACCGATGCAGATATGCATTTTAGCATTGTTGTCTCTTGTTTATGTGTGAAGAATATAAAAATGCATATCATTTGATCGGTAATGGTGATGATGTAAAGGAAGCAGGGATGCCAACTTATGAGCTAATTTAGTCTCTTAACATTGACTCTTTGTACTTGTAATTTGGATTCTGTTAAAAAAAACACCCTGTTGCACATTATTAGTATAATTGTCCTGATAAAGGCTTCAAGTTGAAAGGTGTAAACAATAAAGTTCGCAAACTGCTTTTTGCAGCAATTAATAACTTAGGTTTGGAATAAGTAGATTCAATTATTTGCAGGCAACTGATGTTCAGAAAAAGTAAAGATTGTGAGTGTCTTATTAGAACTTTGGATAGATTTATGAAACAACTAATATAAAGTCATATTTTAGCTTTGTCATTTTTCAAAAGAATATATGAAATGAAATGAAAATGCTTCTTTATTGAGGCGAACTTAGGACCTCATTCTTACAGGTCCTTTCTTACAGTTAACCTCTATATAATAATAATAGTAATAATAATGGTAAAGTAATAATAATGATGAATATATTACTATGTTAAAAGCACATTGTTTAAAAACAAGTTACTGTAAATTCATATAGTTGTTAAAATATTTTTAATTTTGATCCCAAAAGCCGCGTTTACATAATGGCAGTTGATGGGCAGTAAATTTAAATACACTAGAGGAGAGGCGAGTAGCCTGCCTGCTCTACCGGCCTTGTGTAAACGCGGCTAAAGAAGGGTAATTTTGCAGCCCCCTTATATACTGATTCCAGACCCAGACACCATTTGTCATTGGGTTAATAAATTATGGTATCTTACAAAAGGGCTACATTAGAAAGTTGTTCACAGAAAGTAAAAATGCATAGCACGTAGGCCTACAATGCTAATCAAGACGTTATATAGGCCCTAGTTATTCAATAATACTTAGATTTTCATTAATAATATGGTCAATTTAAAAAGGCCTAATTTCACGAGAAAACTTGTCTTGTTTTGCAGTTGTGCAATTTTTTCCTGAGGTGAGGGAGGAATAAATGATTTTCCTACAGTTACCCAACAATGTACATGTTCTCTCACTGATTTGAGAAAGCAAAGTGGCCAATTCGCTCATCAGTGAGACAATGTTAACATTGTCTCACTCTAATTACTTTGTCTCACTCCAGATTTGCAACGTGAAGGCACGAAATAGTGCGCGTGTAACATGCAGGCAACGCCGAATGCGCGCGAAATACGTTGGCAGCACTGGCTGTAAATCAGCTGGTCAGCTGTTGTACTGTTGTATTGTATTTGTCACTTCACATTAAATGTTATATTAAAAGTTCACTTCTGTGTAAAAATAGGTTATGTTTCTTCCCGAATTTATTTGTTTTGTGGTAACTGTAGGAAAAGTATAATGTGCAACTCGAGTTCAAAGTAAAATTGCCTCACTCGAGAAACCATTCCTCACTCGCCTACGGCTTGTGAGTAAGGATTTCTCTCGAGTGAGTCAATTGCTCACTTTTCTCACTAGTTGCACAAATAACTATTCTTTAATGTTACGATGTTTTGTAGGCCTTCTCAGTTCTATATTGACCTTCCAGGCAACTCATAGGCAAAGTATTTATATGTTATTTTGCTATATTTGAACCTACCTCAAAATATATGTATTACAGATAAAAGTATGTGTTATTGCATTTTTCAAAACTAAATTTATTTTAATGTAGGTTCTATTATTGTAATATATATATTTTTTACCTGTAACCAAGAATATAATAAAAATGAACGTTTAGTTTAAACAACCAAAACAGTAGCCATTACATCAATTTTTATTTCTGATAAGCATTTTAGAAATACAGTCAATGCCAACAAGACTGAAACAATCTGTTTTACTTAAAAAAAAAAAAGACTCACAGGAAGATTGTAAGCCTATTAAATTACTGGGTGTCACTTTAGACCAGAAGCTTGGGAATCTCACACCAACTCAGTAGTTTCAAAACTTTCAAGGGCCTGTTTTTGCTACGTAAGCTACAACAATGTGTTAGTAGAAATATGTTGTTAAATTAAATACTTATTTTAGCGATTTTCATTCCCATTTGCTGTATGCCACAATGTTCTGGGAAAATAGTAGGGGTGCTATCTATGTTTTTGCTTGGCAAAGAAAAGCAGTAAGGATTTTGGCCAATTTGCTTATCAAGATGACTGTAAGCAATGTTTTATTAATTACAATGTAATGTCTGTCCATTGCATTTTCATATTTCAAAATCTTTTATATGTAAAGGAAAACCAGAGTGATTATGTAAGTTTTGAGAAAGTTCATACCTAATTATAACATTAGAAGAGCACAAGATATCGTCCCACCCTCTTCTAGATTATAGAAAACAATAGTCAGCCACAAATACTAACAAATCAAGTGTTTCAATAAATTGCCATCAGAGATCAGAAACCTTGAAATCCAACCATTTAAATCAAAACTGTCAAGCTGGTTTATAAATAAAGCGTTTTATTCTCTTGATGAATACATTTTAAATTAATTATGAGCTTTGATCCTGTGATGCTTTGGTGATTAGTTGTAATTTATTTATTGTTAATTTGCATAGTTTATATTGATTTGTCTCTAATTGTTATTTGTGATGTTTTATTCTGTTATATCTGTTAGCCTGACAAGTACACTGTACTATTTCCTTTTACACTGCATATTAGTGTATTTCTTTTGTTATTTGACGTTTTCTATAGCGATGTAATGTTGACAAATGACAATATATGGATTCTTATTCTTATCTCTTCAGAATTCTTTCCCTTTTTAATCAGGGCTAGTGAATTCAATTAATCATATATTAAATTAGCAAAATAATAAAATAACCCTGATACACCAATTACATATTAACATTCTATAGTGTTACGAGTGCAAAGATAAGCTTTTGTTATTTGAATTTTATCATTCAAGGTTAATGGTAGCTAAGGTCAAGATTGATGCGTAATTGATCCATTAAATAACCATGAATAATACTAAAAAGATATAGTTACTATGATAAAAACCAGGTGCAGTTCATAAAAATCTAAATAAAATATTAAGATATTTAACAGTTGCAAGCCAAAATAAAATATTCAACAGTATTGTAACTTGAATTAGTTAGGTACACACAAAACATATGGAAAAAAGTTGTCTAAAAAGAAGTTTTAAAATAACTGTTGAATGTGAAATTTCAAATTTAAATAACTCCTATTTGAAAATTTTTCCATATCCATGTCTAGCTAGACTAATAAGCAAATGAAAGTTAAATTAACACATTAAAAGCAATTTGTGTATGGTAGCTATAGAATTTTCTCCGTAACCATTAGGCGCAAAGTAACGCTTCAATATACAAAATTATTTGTTTTTTAAGCTCTACATGTTGGTTTGGAAAGAATTTGCTAATTTTTTTGTTTATAGGGTCAAAATTTAGTGAGTTGGTGGCTCAGTCGGTAGCGTCGTGGACTTTGGGCCCAAGGCAGCGATGTCATGGGTTCGGATCCTGGTCACTGCCACTAAAATTTATCAGTACAGTTCACCTTTGTACTGTACCGGCCCGCTCCTTGCTTTGCCGTAAACGCTCTGCGTACGGGCACTTAGTCTATGTGGACGGGCAAATGCAAGGTTAAAAGAGGCTGCCAACCTCTTAAAAAAAAATATTAAAAAATGGGAAAACCAATTTTTACCACTTAAAACCCCCCATTAACACCCGTTCCCATAGTCCAATCATGCTGGTTCGCGAACTCGTTAGAATAAATGTACGTTTACACGTTTATTCCTAATTTCATCAAAATCGGATCATTTTTGCTTGAGTTTTATATATATTTATTTATTTATGAATTTGAACGGATGGTGTTTTTGGCCTCTAGGGACCTCAAAACAAAAAAGTAAATCGGTCCTGTGTCCAGGTCTTACCATGAGTACTAAGGTAATATTCCCTTATTCCCTACATGGGAAATTCGCTAAATACAGATTTAAATTTTTGTTATCATGCTTAGTGAATTTTGAAAGTTTGGTACTCAGGTTCAGCTCAATAGGCTATCTTGACAAATTTTGAATTAATTTAATAAAGTGATCCTTCAAATCGAACACCTTTATTGTATTGATACACTAAATTATAGACCTATGTGGAACTTCATTAGTCATACCGCAATAAAAAAAAACAGCATGAAGTTGATGTTATTATAAAAAGAACCCATAATGTTAACAGGATATGTAAATATTCAAACAATCTTATCCCTGTTTAAAACCACACTGCTTATCATGAATAAATATTTGCTTTAAGTTTAAAAGTTCCATTTGTTAGATGGTTACAAATATTTTCATTAAAAAATTTTAATTTGTTATTCACATTGTATAACTTTGGAGGAACGTTTAATAAACAAGCTGTGCTTTATATTTTAATAATGATATTGATATTGATGATTGGTGAATATGACTTCTCTATACTTTAGTTTTATGTTAAATGTTTTAATTAATCACCATCCAAAACTTTTTTTAATCTTTAAGATTGACTTGGAATTATTATTGTTCAAGGAATTGTATATAAAAAAAACAGAAAACACATAGGCCTATTATTTTAGTCTACCATAATGTTGCCCTTTATCACATAATGGTTTTAAATGTAATGGCATCAACACCTAATAAAATATTACAACAGTAACAGTGAATAAACAGTTATGTAAAACTGTAAAATAGATGGCTTGGCAATTAAAAAACAGTTTCAGACAACTAGACAGCTATAATGATTAGTATTATAAATGCACGCTTTGATTCATCGGTTACCCTTATCTCTCGACACCATTTACGTGATCGGAGGACTCAACGAGTTAACACTGTATGAGGTCGAAAACCAACAAATGATAAGAAATGAAAACTACTACAGTATTTAGAATTACTGATAACACAAGAAACTTTTCCAACTTTTATCAAAAGATATTACAACTCTTTTGTGTTAGACGAAATTGCTCAATAAAAACCTTGCTTCAGTAGAAAGATAATTACAACTGAGTAATTAATTGTGATACTTTAGATAATTAATGTAACATGAATTTGGAAATGCACAAAAAACTTACAAGTTACTTTTCAGATAAATTGAGAAATTATTTGTTAAAACTAATGGGGCTTTTTTAGTTGTACTTTTCAAAACAGCATTTCATTAAGTTTAACAATTAATATCACACACATGGCAATGGATAGAAACAAAAAGTTAACATACGGTACTCATTATACATTAATCATCCCCACGAATCTACCAAAGAAATTTTAACGTTAGTCCCATTTGGTTATGTGTATAGTCATAAAAGTTTACTATTTGTTTTTTGTTATTTGACTGATTTTAAAACTATTTCAACTAAAATAAAACTATCTGTTTATACACTGTTGTATTTTTTTATTATAACCAAAAAGTAACCTAGAATGAGAAAGAAAAAAACATTTAGTTGACAATAGGTGCTCAAGCATTACAAACATAAACGAGCTTCAGATTTTAAAATAGGATGAGAAGACGTGTACCATTCAAAGTCAATCATAGTAACAAGACCAGGGTTTCCCTGGGACTGTTCCCTTACAAAACAGTGGGGGGGAATGCTAGTATTGTAGAAAAAAAAACAAACATAAACACCATAGTTAAACAACAGTTTGTTATATTATATTCTGGCCACAAAATAGTTTGTAAGCCAAATGTATTTTTACATAAAGTTATTAAACTAAATCACCTGTATAAGTACAGTATCTGCCAAATCCAGAGAGCAGCGTCGAAGTCCCAAAAAAGCATAGCATCGTGGATACCACCTCAGAAACAAGTATGGGATTCCAAAAAATATCACAGCAACAGTATGTAGAGCCAACGTCGAGAGCCAACATTTTCGATAGCCTGAAATGCAAATTAGTTAATTAGTTTATTTAAACATCTTTAATTGTAAACACAAACTGCACAAATATATTTCAATCAGTTTAAATAAAATGTATCCATTTATTCACTGAAAGCCCTTTTAATGCGACATTTAAATACAAGGCAATTTGGTACCTTAAAATGTTTTGAACCGCTATTGTTCAGGTTGAAAGAATTGTTTTTGTTAAACACGTATTTTTACTGAGGAGGAAATATTAAGTATTTCAGTTACCTACCATTTAAATACTTTTGATACTGATTCAAATATTTTGTAGACACAAATTGTCCTTCAAAAATATTTGAACAACGGAACTCTGGAAATTCCTCTATTTTTCAGGTGATTGTTCATTCCCTAAAGAACTCAACAATAGAATAAACCTTACATTAGCCTTACACAATATTGTTGTTAGCTTGGTAATGGATTTGTATTTATAACCACACAAAAGTAGTTCTATGACTACTCTCACAAGAGAACCCCTCACCTCCTCACACGGAAATATTGTGTGAAATATTGTTTAATTAGTTTAACTTTAATTTAGGAAATATTGTTTCTATAGTTTCTAACGACATGGTATTGTATGATTAAAATAAAACATGAACAAACAAAGTAGACATTTTCTATCATGATTTGCAGACTAAGCGAATTTCTATAGAAATTCGCTTAAAATTTTCAGATTTATTTCCTATTTAAATATTGTAATGAGTACTTAGGTTTCCTGCTACGGGGAAGGTACACAGACCTGTCACTTTAGGTGTGTTTTTTATTGGATTGTTTTAATATGATTCCATTAAAATTGCAAAATTTGATTTAAATACATCCATTAACAAACAAACTACAACAGTTGATTTATTCTCCAAGAATAGAATGGGAATTTTGAATTTAAATTTTTTTTAATTATCTTCGTAACCATTAGGCGTACAAAAACTCTTTAGTATTCAAAATTATTTTTTTTTAGAACAAAAAAACAAACAAACAAATAACAAATTAAACACAACAAATTAGTTACCGTAACAAATTAGTTTGAAAAGAAATTCTGAAATTTAATGCTTTCTGGTCAAAAATGGGACCCATAAAACCCCCCATAAACCACTGTTCCCATAGTTTGATCATGCTGGCTCGCGAAATCGTTCAAATAAATGTTGTTCAAATAAATGGATAACTTAAACTAACCATCACCAAAAACTAAGGAAATCACTTAATTGGTAAACAAGATAGTAGTGAATAGCAAGTGGTTTGATAACATTAAATTTGCAAAGTGTTTCTAAATGTTATATTATAACTTAGTGGTTTGGTTTAGTTTTCTAAGTGCATCTGTAGCTATAAGTATTACAAAATAAAATATTTTACGGCTCATTAAGAAGTTAAATACATTGTGTAAATAATATAACCAGCATATGCAAGTAGAAAAACAAACTAAAACGGTGATTAATCTGTATGCGCCACAAGTTTGATTAAGGATAGTAGCCCAGAACTAGCTCTTCTTGCCTCAAACAGTTAAGGAACTAGCAGTCAGAACAAGTTTGACCAAGGATAGTAGTGCAGTGCTAGCTCTTAGGATGTACATCTTTGTGTCTCAAACTGTTAAGTAACTAGCAGTCAGTACAAGATTGACCAAGGATAGTAGCCCATACAGTGCTAGCTCTTAGGATGTACATCTTTGTGTCTCAAACTGTTAAGGAACTAGCAGTCAGAACAAGTTTGACCAAGGATAGTAGTGCAGTGCTAGCTCTTAGGATGTACATCTTTGTGTCTCAAACTGTTAAGGAACTAGCAGTCAGAACAAGTTTGACCAAGGATAGTAGTGCAGTGCTAGCTCTTAGGATGTACATCTTTGTGTCTCAAACTGTTAAGGAACTAGCAGTCAGTACAAGTTTGTTAATAATGTATGTATTTTATTGAGAAGATATTTATTTATAAATTGTATTTTGTTATAAAAATTAACTATACTTTTTTAGAATAGCGGGGGTTCCAAAATAGAGAATGATCAACCATATCCTTAGGAAATGGTACTGTACATTGTAGAGTAAAGGGTGATATGTAATGTATAAAGTACTTGTTAAAGCATTACAGTATATAAATCACCAGCCATTGTGAGGATTTGAACACGCAACAGTACTACTGTACGGTACTATAAGACTTATAATCTATCAAGACACCAAATTTTTACCGACTTCTAATACTTTTCAATATAAAGTCATTTGTAAATTATTGCTACCAAGTTTATTATCGCAGCTTTATCATTGACGAAAAATGAACAAATTCTTTTAACGGTGAGTGCTAAATTTAAAAACAATATGTAGGCTATATAAATGTCCGATCTAAAACTTGTATTAGACGTTCCGTATTACTTAAATATTACGTGTGAAATATTATTACAAGTAACCATGTAAAATGGTTTAATTGTAGCCAAAACATTACATGTTTCATTTCTGAAATGGCCAATTCAAATAGGCTATAAACTTAAAACCACCACCACTCATACCCAAGTTACTTGTCATAAATCTATTCGGGGAAGTAAGCAAAACTGTCCCCACCACAGCAGGGAAAAATCCTGTATAATAGTTTCAAAGAAAGATAAAATACTGAAGACAACAATACTGTATTATTTAAAGATACTCATCATTTATTGTACATCTTAACACTCCTTAATTTAATTCCAAACTTTTTAATGTCCAACTATTTTTATACTAACGCCCCTAGTCAGTATCCAGTATGTGGCGTTTCGTAGATCATGATCGAGTAGTATTCTAGGTACAAGTATAATTAATTTAAAATTCTCACCTGTACATTTTAAGTTCCTCTCTTCTTTTCCGCAGTCAATAATCTGGACAGAAGGAGCCTCCAGCACCTCATACCCACTGCGACGCAGTGCTGAAACAATTTGCACAAAATTAAAGTTTACAAACAAATTGAAAATTAGCAAATTGTAAAAGTTTCAAACATCATGAACTTAAAGCAATTTAAGAAAAGGTGAAGTTAAAGCCAGAATATTACTGTATGATTTACCTGATTTCCATTTGTGTTAGTGTGTGTTATTAGCCATTGTCAATGGTTTGAATGTTAAAAGTTCCTTTTATTTTCTATTTATTATATGTATGTTAAGAAAGTATGTTTTGTAACATAGTGTAATAAGAGCTCAGATTAATGCAACACACATAGGTTTTGTAACAGCATGGGATTAGTGTTCACATATATGTAACACAAGGTATATTTATGTAACATTGATGTACTTGGCAATCAGATGTATACAACACAACTAAATGTTGTTTTGTCTCATTGCTGTCATTATTGGCATTCAGATAATTGTATTTTTTTTGTAACATTCATAAATGTATTGTTCAGACTTATCAAACTCAAGGTATGTTTTAGAAAACAATGTCTGGAACATAAATTAGAGCTCCTCATTCTATTTGAAACTAAGACTGGCACACAAGGTACCAGAACATTGCCCAGCAATATTAAAACTATAATAGACTTAACAGGCTATTTTTATGGAATGGTTTAAGTTTGGCAAGAAATTGACATTGGCAATGATTGAGCTCAAGAGAACATTAAAAACCACTATCCGACATTAGGGACTGAAATATAAAAATAGTTTTATTCAAGACTCACTGACTCAGTCATCAAATAAAGAAATATCCTTTTGTGTCTTTCCATAGGCAATTTTAAGGTCTGTTGAATGTGTCAAAAAGAAGCTAAGTCTGAATTGATTTTAAATACTGCACTCTAAAGATTATGTAAATACTGTACTGCAATTTTACTTAATATGTGTGTGTTTAGCTTAAAAGTACTAAAATTAAGTAGGCTAAGAACATAAGTGTGATGTTACTCTGATGTACAAAGAAAACTTACTTCTCACAAAGTGTGGGGACGATTCACTTCTCCTTGACAACTTGTTATGTTAGTTGAATTTGATTTTAAACAAATAATACTTTGAGAAAAAAATATATGTATTGAAATTAAATTTTGCAAAGAATACATATTGATAACTAAAGTATATGTTGTTGATGAAGGTTAGTAGCTGGTATTTCTTTAACGAGTTCCGAAAATAGACGTCAACGCTCTGCGACTACACTCACCTGAGTTTGCTATTTGCAAACTATTCGTCATCGGACTTTATAGACAAGCACTTGGCAATGTCACCCAGCGCCAGAGCACATAATAATGAAAATGTCCAGTGCATGAGTTATTACCATTCTTATCAAATTTGAAATTATATCTGACCTGAATCAACTGTAATATTTTTAATAAAACAAAGAACATGTTTACATTTTTTTATTTATGAATTTAACAATAATCAGTCAAATTAGTCATGTCGCAAAATCCAATAGGTGTCTACTTTAGTTACCTACTGAATTTTGAGGATTATTTCAGTAGTTTTTTTCTTAAGACTGTGTATTGCTTGCATCTTTTAATTCATGATTTTTTTTATTAATCTCATATTCAAACCAATAAGGATACAAGTTAAAAGGAAAATGTACTCCAGAAGTCACACCACACATTTGTGTTATGCATTTGTTTTTCGTCTTATGTCACATAATTTGTTTGAACTAATGTGAATAACTCATATAGACTTAGTGTTTTCGCCAAAGTTCCATTTTAAAATTCACAAAAATATTGATATCCAAGGATAGAAAAACACTTTCAAGTGAGTGATCAGATAACATTTTTTTAAGCAATTAACACTTAAGCGACTAAGTACCAAGATGTGATAAGTCTATGACCTGGTAGTCGTCAGAAAACAAACCAATCTCTTCATGAGTACATACTGTACTACACTGGCTCAACCCTTCAATGAACAGGCACAAGGTACAGTATACGTGGATGGGCCAATGCAAGGTTAAGGAATGCTTTTTAGAAAGGGGTAAAGATAAATGTAGGTAAATTTAACTTATCTCTAACAGAGTAACTAAGGGGGGCGAGCTAGTCTAGTGGTAGAGCACGGGACTTTGGTTCCCAAGGTCCTGGGTTCAAATCCTGTCAATGTATTTTATCTAGTGATAGTGCTTCATCCCCCTCTCTAGACTTAGCCTGATTAAGGTGGAAAACAATTCCGGCTATTACATTTAATCAAATTGCTAGATCTTAATTGAATAACTTTAGATGTTCATAAACAATACTAAAGAACAATTGTTATATTCTAGGTAAACTGTGAAATAAAAGTTTGGTAATATACTTTAAGTGCCATTATTTTTCAAGTTGTATGCCCAATTCAATAATAATAGCTTTTTTTACTGCAAACAAGGGCAGCCACAAAACACTTTGAGATTCACAAAATCTATAAAAAAATCACTATATATAATGTTTTTTTTTTTTTTACATTTTACAGCCTTATTAAAAATCTGTTAGTCGTTTTGAGACATTCATTTTTTTAACCTCATCAGCCTGCCAACAATCTAGTTTGACAAGCACAGTAGCTCAATGTTAGCGTCTTAAACTTATATCACAAACATCTCTGGTTCCAGACCAACGCCTACATTATCTAATCACTGCACTGCAGTATCAATGCCTGTGCATGTGACTTACACCAAACAATACTCCACTGTCTTTAGATCACCACACCAGTAGTCTATGGTGACAGACAGTTGTTTTGTTTGAAATAAACAAGTTTTCAAATAATGTGTTCATCAAAAATTTTTATGATAATTTTTAACAAATGCAACTTTTATAGTAATTTAATTTATAATCTCAAAAATATGTAATATCATACATTGATCATGTACAACTTGCTAGCCAATTAAGGCACAATGTAAGCACATTGAAGCATTAGAAAACCAAACCCCATTTGAAGTTTAAGCAACAAGCCCTTGCCCAAAATCAACCTTGTGCTATCTAAAAACCGGAAAACATACTAGGCTAATAATTTCAGTATTACACCATGCAGTTGGACAGAACATTCGTAAGAGGTATTTATGATCTTGTGATATTTGTAATTAAAATCACACACTGGTACTGATCAGGTAGACAAATTTTTAATCTTTGATGAACCAACCAATTAACTATTTTTATTATTGAAACAAAAAGATTACACTTTTGATTTTACAATCAAATACAGGTGAAAATTTTAAGACGCATATCATATTCTATTTTAATAGTTTCATTTTGAACAGGAAACATCTACATTTGATTATAACAATTTAATTAGAAATGTTGTAGGAAATAAAAAGAGCATTATCAAATTCCAAAAATGAAAATAAAACTACTTACAACCTTTTATGACTACACTTTCTAAAGACAAGCAATTGATTTTAATAATTTGATAGCAAAAACGGATTTTGTGAATCAATCTTCTTAGGCAATAGCTTTGGACAAAAACAATTACAAGTGGCTTATACATCTGATTTCTACACATTTTTGTACAATTTTTAATGCACACCCACCACTCTGACAGCAAAATGCATGGTTAATAGTGTGGAATTTCATCGGAGGGGTAACAGCTAACTTCTAATCCAAAAACCTTTGCCTTTCTTTCCCAAATGTACAAAACAATGCACAGACCTTTTATAAAGTCTCAAAGTAGGTGTCATTACATTGTTGTGCTGAGACTAAATAACTGATAGAGAAAGAAGAGTTAACATAATGTAAAATCATTATAACAACACATATCAAGAAAATGCTTTTAGCATAAATGTTACCAATAAGAAGCAGGGTAAATAATTTTTAGAAGGAACAAAAAGAAAATATTAGTTGCATGCAGGAATCACTGCAGTTCACTGTTGAGGTTAGATTAGAATTAAGTATTTAAGACAGACAAACTGGCTAATGAAGAAGAATTGCAAGCATGAGGCAATCGGATGATATGATACTTACGAGCATTTCTTCCTGGAGAAGTAATGGTGTTACAGTTTCTTTTGTTTTGGAACACTGATCACACAAAGAGCAAATAAACAAAAATAAAATGTGTGCATAGCACTAGAAAAACCAAGTAAATTTCTAGTCATATAGTCTATCTATAATTAATTAGAGAATTATTTGAATCCAAGTAAGTTACATTCCATTTTTCAGATTAAGTTATAATTTAGAATTGATTAACTTATGGATGATGGAGAGTTTATGATAGGTACCATTTTACAGTAGGCTATGTTGTCTCTACAACAGTTATCACAATTTGTAAATAATGTTAACTTAGCTGGATATGAACCAAATAAAACATTTATTTTTTTACTCTGCAGAGCTTTAGATATTTTTTGCATTCATATCTCAGAATATAAAAAAAATTAGCGAAATGTATAGCCTGGTTTGAGGCAAAAACAGAACACTAGGAAAACAGTTTACTTACTATTGAACTGCAAGTTATTAAAATAAGTTTTTTAGTTAAATTAATAAGTTCATTCACTAAAATACTGTACTGTAACCTAAAAGGATCGTACAAATGTTTTTAGTCATATTCTTTTATTAAAGGTTGTGGGCACAATAGGGAATTTAAATTTAAAAGTAGCCCTCAAATAATTAATTGCAGCCTATAAGATAATAAATTGTAAATTGCTTGGTTCGACTAGAGCATCTTACATTCAGCTAGTTTTCTCGAGATTTGATTTCACCTAAGCCAATGGCGTTCCTCTCCGGATATTTAATTTGTTATTAAGTTATTCAATGGATACATCACGGAGGCAACCTCAAAGGATAAACTGTATTTTTAAGGGAGGAAGAGTATTTCTTCTACAGAAATGTTACCAGTGGAGGTTACACACTTGGTTCATCAAAATCAATGAATTTGACAATTTAACTATTAGAATTACCAGTAAGTTACACCATAAATTAGTAGGCCTAGCCTATCCAAAATGTATCACTGTAGTCAGGCCTGCAGTGCACTATGAAAAATAGCCCCCAAGCATGCATAGGTACTAACTCTAAAAAACTAAGTAGGTAGTTTCCCTAGCAGTAGTAATCCTTAGCAGAAAATAACATAACCTATAAATTTATCCCTTGATGAGGTTATGTATTAATTGTACTTTCATGCATGATAGATTAATATGATAAAAATGGTTTCAGTGAAAAGCTAAATCTTTGATTATATTTTGTCCCACGAAATAATAAATAAAAAGTTCTAGTTTAAACTGAGAAATAAGAACTGGGGGTGGGATAATAATAGAGCAACATATTTAAAGAAACTTATGTGAAACTAAACATACCTGGTAAATTAATACCTATCATATCATTTCTTGAAACCGTTTGAACACCTCGAGATACTATTTTGTTAATATCAAATCACACAATAAACTTTAAAGACTAATTAAGGTTAAGCAGTGTGAGCATTAAGTTAGTTAAGTCATTCTAGACGTTGTTTGTGGGGAGACTGTCCGCTCCGTTCCGTTGTCTGTCAGCCAGCTGCTGAACTGAGCTAACGTGACGTGACGTGACGTGAAGTAACGTAACGTAACGTAAAGTTCTAATGAATGAAAACGATGGAATTGAATCGTCTTCCCCGGAATGGGCACACGGAAGGGACTAAGGCTAAAGGTGTAGTGACGTCATATCTCTAGTGGATAATGTCTTCTCTTGAGGCGACACGATTACCGTTACGAAACGATGTGATTTCAGCGGCGATCGTGGCATAGTTGGTAGCGTTTCGGGTTGGTGTGCAGGAGGTCCCGGGTTCGAATCCCGCTGGTAATACTGACTTTTTGTCAACAAATTTTTCATATCAGCAAGTTTGGTTGGTTAGGTTAGGTTATGACAGTTTATTTTTATAATACTACATTTTAAAATTAATTTTATAATTAATTAAAAATTATAAGTCATTATTAATTAGATTTTTATCTTATATAGTTTTTATATTATCAGCAAGTCTGGTTGGTTAGGTTATGTTATGACAGTTTAATTTTAAAAATTAAAAATTTATTTTATAATTTTAAAACAATATTTTATAATTAAAAAGTTAATTTTATAACTAAAAAAAAATAATTTAAATTATTTCAACTTAGCAGTTCTAGCGGCGAACGCTGACACTACAAGATATGTTAGCCTTAGTCCCTCCCGTGTGCCCCACCGGTCTTCCCCTGGCCATGGCAATATAGCAGAAGCAGAAGCAGACTCAGTATCATCAGTGTTACCAATTCACCTCCAAAATAGCAACACTATTATCCTCGCGCCTTGTATTCTCGATTCTCGGTATTAAGTCAATGGTATTACAAACTTGGTCATTTGGGTGTAACCCGCGGAGGCAGAAAACATTCTAAACTTTATTGAAATACGTCCAAAACTACGAATTTCTCTTGAAAGTCCGAAATTGAAGGGCTTAACTAAAATTTGTTTTCCTACAGTTACCTAAAATATCAGGCTTCCTTGCACTGATTATAGCACGCAAAGTATAATTGCTGCATTTGCTTACTTTTGCCACACTCATTTTACTTTGCCGCATTCCAATATTCCAACCAAACAACACAAAACTGTTTGCTTTTATCGTACACTTAATGCGTGTACGATTGTAAAGCTGGCAACACTTAAAGATAATACGACTACGATTAGCTGGCGCAGTGTCAACATCCAATAATGCTTGGATTTAACCATTGACAAAAAGAATTAAATATAGACTGTCATCCGTGCTGCGGTTACCATAGTTACCATAGGTTCTGGCGCACACCGCTGGGAGCACCGTGTAGTTACATAGCGCGTACGCCGTAACTAAATTAACTACAAGGTGCTCCCAGCGGTGTGCACCAGAACCTATGGTATCCGCAGCATTGACACTTCGGGTTTTGAGCACGAGAATGTTAAAAGATATTCAAAGTTAAAAGTTTAAACTTGTTTAGGTTGCAAGCAAATAATACAGACCAAAGAAAGTTTCAATAATTTACTGACAAAGTTTTATTGTAAAGATGAAATAGGGTTTGAAAAACTAGGATTTGGTTTTAAAACGAAGATTTCAACAAATCTACAATTCGTGTTTTTTATTTTTTTTCAAACTTTCTTCAAAAGCTGCAAACATTTTAGTTGCAAACTGCAGTGTAAACGTGCCTTTACATATGAAGATTATGCTTAAAACAAAATAACGTCCTCCGCGAGTAATAGGCCAAAATCAAAATAAAAAAATCCGCGTAGCTTTTCAAATGATTCAAATGATTCAAATGATTTATTAATTCCGATTAATTTGCATTACAGAGAGAATTCCTTATTTAAAATTTGCCTGTTTATTGGTTATGGTGCTTGGTTATTGGTTTGTTGGTGGTACTACAACTTTAAGTTAGCTCCCCTAACCACCGGATCGCGGAATCATCGTATAAAAACTGCCATCAATAGACAATAGACAATTCTTTATTCCGTTAAGTTCTAACGCAAGAGGCACTTGCAGTTGTAGAATAGAGTGGAGTTGTATAAGAAAGAATAATAAATTACTTATTTGTAAACATTACTGTCTTGAACTTTATTTGACAAAGTGGATTTTACATAGTATTGAAACTCAAGCATCATGTTTTGACTAGTAATTGTTATCTTTAACATTCTTACTCTTACTTTTAAATAAATAACCACTTTTATAAATCGCTGAAGAACACTTATTATACAAATTGAAAAATGTTACCTGGTTGTTTACGATTCCGGAAAAATCTCCAGACAACCATCTTGATATGAATAATCACAACTCACAATACACACGGAGTGCAGACCATCCGCACCTGAGCGGATCGGATCTTCACGAGTCCGGGTCGAGGCGAGACTATTCGTAACAATACTCGGGGAATGACTCAATAACAATGACTCGTGCTCGCGCTCGCTCCCACCGTCCCACGCCAACCAACGATTGCAATTTGCAGTACGAAATACGAGTCAACCGAACTAGTTTGATTCGGGCCTGCGATTACGATATTTGAGAACGATATTTTACTGACCGATTTATTTTCCAAAACGGTAACCAAATTTTACAGACTCAACCCACTCTCACCTAACGATTTATAGTAAATGCATATTAGTAAATTATTGAATAAAATGTTTATCAAGTAATAAGAACATTAATAGTCATATAAAACGATATTCATCGGATCGTTCACGTGCACCTACCCAGTGTAAAACCAAACATGCGCAAGGAAACGAATCGTGATTGTAGAAATAACCACCACGACTTTTGAAAATTTATCAATTTTGATAAGTTTGCAACATCTGCTCTAAATTTGTTTATATAGTAAAAAAAAAAAACAAATAAATCAGTTGTTAGTGTTTGGGATATAAAAGGTTCTGGACGATCGATGGTGGACCATTATTGTGTCATTTTTTAGCTAAAACCATTTTTGTTTGTTTTAAAACAGAACTGTTTGTAAATGGATCCACTATTTCTATTTGGAAATGTACACTAAGTTTAAGAGCTCTATCGTGGTGAGCATTTTATAATCTAACCGCAAAGTAGTACAGTATATACGGAGAGTACAAAAAATATATTTTCGAACTTAAGGAGGATGCCTGGTTACAAAAATGGAAAAAACACAGCTATATTGAGGAAGTACGTTATATACCTATGATAGTGATATTAATCTTACGCCCGTTTTCTTTAAGTCCTCTTGGTGTCTTGAACCACCTTCGACTGTTTTTACCGATTTCCCCTGTTAGTTCAGTAGTTTTATTACTATAACCATGGATAAAACCTCAGAGTAATAATACATAATTATGTGTTATGTATTATTACTCTGAGATTAAACGATTAAACTGTTCTCCAGTTTAGTCTAGGCCTATGACATTTGTCACGGCAGCATCCAGCACCTCTGTTGAGGACCAATGTACAGGAGGTTTTATGTTAAAAAGGGTACTTAAAGGGAGTATGTCTAAAGTACTTATTTCGTATGTTGATTTAGTAACTGAACAGAATGCAGACATGGATTAAACAAAACACTCCCTCTCAGATTCGCCATACATTGAGGTCAGCTGAAGAAAATATCGAAGTATATTTCCATCCAGTTTCTGTAAAAAGCGTTTGTATAGTTTACTATATGCTACTCAATTTTTAGCGAATTTTAAATCTATTCCAACTGTATATACAACTAACAGTCTATTCTTCAACTATATTATTTAATACCTAACTAAAGAACAGAAATTGTAAAAATCTACCCTTACAATTATATTTGGTTGACATCAGCACTATTAAACAAACAACTTTTGACTGGATAAAGCTCATAATAATTAATTAGCTTATTTTGCAGATTTATTTATGTTAAGGTGTTTATTCTTGAAATAGTAATCGTAGACTAACTAGATATGGTAATAACTTAACCTATGGTGTAATCTACTTAAACAAATTTAGAAATAAAGTGGCTACATGCAATTTAATTCAGTGTGCCAGTGTGCGACGCCAACCGAAAACGAAAAAAGGAAACTTTTAAACTCTCAACTCAACTCAACTTAACCTCCTAACCTCCTCAAAATAATACATAAATAAAACACTTTTTTAAGTAAAGTCAGAAGTTTCATCTTCTTAATATAACCATTGAGTATAAAAACTTAAAGTTAACCTTTTATCAATGAATAACATTTAAATTGTCGTTTAGTTTATTAATTTTCCTTGTCTAAACAAACGAATGTCTATCAGTTAAGGAGTTCAGTATTTAGGTTGGCTAAGTACATTATCTTGCATAGGCCTAGGCCTTGTTGTTTCAGAACCATACTTTACCCTTGTTAAGTTATTTTTCAAGTAATAATTTCTTCGCTGAGCTTTAAAAAAATAATAATAAAATTTTTGCAAGATATTTAAAAATGCCAGCAAGTGCAGATGATATTAAAGCTCTACTTCGTGAACGTTTGGAAGCTGTTCATGTGGTAAGTTTTTCTAGCATGCTCGAAGTTGGCTAATGGGTACACTTCCCTATCTGTTGGCACAAACAACCGAATGAAAATATCGATCGATATATCGATTATTCGATAAATCGTTTGGTTAGTTAGGCAAGGTTAACCTAACCTAACTTACTTGATACTTGATACTTGAATTCTGCATCGTTGACCGACAAAGTCGGAATAGATTGCGTCACATATAATAAACACTACTATTTACATAAAAACTAACTAAGATGGCGGCGGGTTGCCAAAAAGTGGTGTTTCGTCCAGCTCACTTAGTGAGTATAGAGGTCTGCCCACCAAATAGTCTCTCAGGGTGTCCTTGAAGGCCCTAATGTCCAACTCGCGCACTTCAGTTGGGAGCGTGTTATAGAGCTTACTAGTGTAGTAGGGGTAGCCCTTTTGAGTCCAGGCTAGTCGGCACCTAGGTAGGTCAAGGAGATGGCCATGTCGTGTTTGATAGGAATGCTGGTCCTCACGTCGAGCAAGTTTTGTCG